CACAAAGGCCTTATTAATACACAAACTAGTGTATCTACTGTTTACTAGAGCTATTGTTTGAATCTAGAGAGATTCTAAGAAGGGAGCCAAGAGGACAGGGACCTAGAGCTAGTACTCAGAACATTCTCAGATGAACTACTACTTGTTCTGAAGGGAATGTACAGCTTGTACAGTCTTATTGTTTAAGAGAGTAAGTATATGTACTAACATTTCCTTATTAACCTCTCTCTTTCAACAAGGACAGACCTATGTCCTTAGCTGTGAACTCAGCTGAGACTATCCCTACTTAATACTATAAACAAACTACTGAGTAGTAAACAGGGCTAGGTAGTGTTCTGAACATTCTAAGATCTTAGAATGTAGAAGTAACAGGTTGGATTGTGTAGATTTAGACTTGGATAAAGTGTGAAGAGAAGAATCAAAAGAATCAGAAGAAATAGGAGAACTATCTACTTTTGTTTCCAACTTTTTTCTTTCTAATAAATAATTTTGTTAATTTATTTTTTCTACTTTTTCTACTTTTTCTACTTTTCTTACTTTATTTACTTCTAATCCTACAGTGTCTATTGAATCAAAAGTGGCTATTAAAAAATCTGAGTTATAGCCCTTCAGTACTACATTTACTGTTAGGCCTCTACAAAATCCTAGAGTATATAGTCAGGGTCTAGGAGTTCTAAGGTGACTTCTAGATTTGCAGAAAAGGCTTCTTACTACAAATCCTGCTTGTCACTCATTATTACTCTAATGACCTGACAGATATACTGTTACTTCTGTAGACAGTCCTTAATCTAGTACCCTGACTTTCTACAGGCAAAGTATGCTCCTTACTTTCAGGCTTCTCTAATGTCTATCAGAACAGATTGATTGTAAATTATAGGCAGATCAATCTAAAGGCTTAGAACTGTTAGAGCTAAACACATGTGTAAGCATTCTGTACAGACTTGACACATTCAGACTGTAGCTTGGTTGAAGGAAATGGTATACATTTTCTACTCAGTGTAAGTGACCAGTTCTAGTGTTATTCTAAGGATCTTATTGACTAGTTCTGAGTGAAGAGCTTTTTCAAGCATTCTGATAAGGACATTATTGAACCCAAGTACAAATCCTGCCTTCTAGGCTAAGATATCAAACTCCTGAAAGAAGGCATTAGTAGAATGTTTGCCCTGTTACAGAGATACAAGCTTGTTCTGTGTATTACACTTCTCATTTAGATTAATGAAGGAAGTACAGAGCTGCCTTATAAATTCCAAGTATGACTCATTGTTCTAAAGTCAGATTAGGCTTCTAATCCAATGGCCTTTGATCCAGTTCTAGGCCTAGGTGGCTGTGTTACCTTCCTTTATAAAGGAGAGGACAAATAGGACACAATTGAGATCTGAGAATAGATTGGTTGAAGTAGTAGCTACATATAGTTCAACTTAGTACTAGAAGTCCTCAAAGTGCTACCTATTAAAGTCTAAAGAGTAGGCTACATGTACTTTCTTTCTAGAACAGGTTACAACTTCTAGAACAATTGAAACAGGTTCTGAAGAGGCTGAGGGTATGTAGTTAGTAAAGGCCTCTTAGATAGAAGTCTACACATATTAAGTTAGTTCTGCTTGTAACTACTGATCCAGTAGGACAGTAGGGGTGGTGGTTAGTGTAGGAGGGTCTATATTTACACTACAAAGGAATTGGCACTAAACTAAAAGGGGTAATGAATAGAAGAAGGGTAGTAAAAGTTTAAAAGGGGTTTAAAATTTTAAAAATGTAGAAGGGTCAGGACAAAGAAAAGAGATTAACACAATAGTGAGTACTGATGCTCAAAATGTAGGAGAGTTGTAGGGTAGTAATAGGTAGTCTTGATCTGATGTCAGTAACAGTGTAGAGGGGACCTGAAGGCTTAGTAAGGGGACCCAAGCTACAACTATCCTACATAACAGAAATACAGAATGCAAGTACTAGAACATAGTCAGAACTTGCAGAACAGGCAGAGAGAGAGAGTGAGACAAGAGTAGAGTATATAGAGTGAGCCTAAGAGTACAGGACTACCTAGAGTAGACAAGATCAAGACTACAGGACCAGTCTGATCTTGTACACTTATATATACTAAACTACACAAGAGTACTCAGAGAGTATGAGCTACTTAAGAATGATAAGCTATGAAGAATGAAAGAAAGGAATGTTAAAGATAAAGGTACAAAGAATGAAGGGATGGACAAAGGGTAAGAGACTATAGAATGATACAAAGAATGAAGGGGTGGTCAAAGGAATGGAATGATGAAGTAAGGAAGGGTAGTAGCAAGAGTCAGCACACATATAGTCTATAGACAGTGCCCCCAAGGGACAGAAGTCCTGAGTTCTGGTACAGAAGGGTGTGGAACCCTTAGAACTGAAGGTACAAGAGTAGAGAACTGTAACATACACATATATATATATAATACTATAATTGCAACAATTCACAATAACATTGTTAATGATAAATAATACAAATGCATGTTAGTAATGATTTACAATGGATAACTATGTTGGCTATTAAAGAAACAATGTAACAGATTGTATAGTTACTCAGAATGTATTAGAAACAATCAATTAACAAACATAACATTAATAAATTAATATACAGATATAAACAATAATGTAAAGCAAACGAACAAACAATACATTCATGATATAATACATATATGATGCACTTAGACACATAGTGAACTGCCTGCAGCCAGACATAACATCTATGCAACAAATATACATTAGTATAAAACCTCATTAATCTCAGAATGAAGCAATCTAGCAAAAACAAATATTATTATTGATATTATAATATACAATTAATGTAACACTTCAATCTAAAGACATAAATCAGCTATTACTGAATGCTTAATGTATATACAAATGTAGACAAACATGGACAGCAATGATTAAAGAAGGATATTATTACAACATCAAATATACATTTTACTAGCATGATTCATTAGTTTCACAGTGAAGTAAAAGGAAATTACTAGAGTACTCAAACAAACTTAATAACAAATGATATGACTGAATAACAAACAATAAAACAAAACGAGCAATTGCATTTATGATTTAAATATGTGTATATACATACCTATGTATGCTGACAAGATTCTGCAGGTCTCTGAAGCATTTACAAATTATTTAATAACATTTACAAACAATCTATTGTGATAACAATACTGTTATTGAACAGTATATTATGAATGAACAAACTAATTAAATATACTTAATTAATATAACATTGGACGAACTTAACACAAAGTGGATGACATTCAGAACAGACAATGCATTACTATAATGCTAATAATATTATTATTAACTACATCAAGTTATAAACGTGTTACACAAACGAACAATTGTACAATGCAGTTATAATGATTAAACTATCTATACATACTGTAAGCAAACATCTTACAAGTCTACTAGACCTAGTAAGAGTTTGAAGGGGAGTGTTAAGACGAGACTACACAAGAGTATGTCTCAGATGATATAAACTACATTACAAGCAATGACGAACGATGATGGAATACCTTCCATCATACATTCTACATCTGAGACATACCTACATAGTATATATAGACTAACTAATTAACAGACAATGAAGCAAGCCGCAAGAGAGCGAGCTGAGTCCACTATCCCCCCTCTTTGTGTGATCCCTCTAAGCCTCTCACATAACCTCTCTTTCCCTTTCTTAACAACTGCTTCAGGAATGATTGCTGATATAACGTGCAAGTTGTTGGATGGAAGGGCTGGAAGGAGAGCTTTGAGGAAAGTAAGGCAGTCCTACAAATAATTTGATGAACAACATGAATATGCATGCAATTTTTAAATACCACCTTTTTCACTGCAGATAACGTATCTTCTACAACCTCGTCCATCTTCGCAAATAGGCTTTCTGCGTCAACCTCAATTTTACTAGCACTCATGATTTTCCCCAGAAGTGTCTGCAGCATATTCCTAGACCGTTTCGTGTAGTCAATATATCCATTTCACTGCAAAGTACCCGCTGAGGTTGATTGTTGTTTTATTGCGATATAGTGAACAAACAACGTACCATCTTCGATACCAGAGTTGGGTTATACGCTCATTCGTCAATCCTCATACTCAAACGGACAATGTATAACAAAGGCACGTTCCTGCCATCGCCCACATCCTAATTGGCCACAGACACAGTGTCAGATACTTCTTGAGCCATATTTAACAATAATTCCTCAACTAACACGTTTAGTGTGTACTTAAGACTAAAAATACATAATTCCCTTACTCCTAATACATATAGAGCACAGTATCTACTTCAACGGAGACTTCTGACTGCGTTCGGCACGCCACACCGAGTTCCGGGTACCATCTCTCTCCCATTGGTGTTACGATCAGGCCCAGAAAGGGAATCTAGGCTGCCTGTCCTGCACCCAACGAGGCACACTCCTCTTCCTACGAGCAAGCTACCAAACCAAGCTCAACTTTTGCACGGCTCACGCCCGAACAATGATACTTACTCGGTATGATAACCTCACTCGGATGTCGCCCATGTCCATGGTAGGAAGTACGACTGGGTAAACGTATATGTGTCGAGTTTGCTGATGCTTTGTGGATGTTGAGGAGCGAGTGGTTGAGTACGAGTGTCGTCATTGACCAGAGGAAGCTTCATGCGTATTAGGTAAATCGAATAAGTGCGCCTGTGCGATTCTGTGGGTATGGGAACAGAGATGGATGCTACTTACAATACACCGCTAAAGACGAGGGTTGGCTAGTTCAAAGCAGTTAGCACAAGCATGTCAAGAGAGCATATACCTAGCCTTGTAAACTCACCCTTGCGATTATAGCCACAATTAAATTTATTGTTCGTAGAGCTGTAACAGGCGAGTTCATGAGTATACACGCAATCGCGCGTTTACATATAGGCAAATAACTCACTTGCGAGAGACTGGCGCGGATTGCAAGATAAATTAGTTACGGATCAAATGTATTGTCCCGAACAGCTAAATCATGGACACAGGACGCACAGCAAAGAAAAGGATCCCATCACGGAGCAGGACACGGTGCAACGGCGTAGTGCTCCCACGAGGTCGGTTGAGTGCGTTATAGATGACCAGCGTGAGTACCATGACTTCGAAGATGAGCTAAATGACAATGCAAGCATCGATATCGACTACGGAAAAAATGATGCGAGAGTCGATCTATGCTTGGACATACCGGAGAAGCCCAGACACCAGGAAGGGCTGAAGGCTTGATAGAGGACACACAGGTATGTGCGAAGGGCACGTACACAAAACCAGCTATGCATCGAATCGCGAGAAGCATGGGACTATTAACTAACCTAGGCGCACAAAGGACTTGTCCAACACTCACAGTATGCATTAGTAAGGACAATGGTTGTAAAAACTGCCGTAGACGTGAATGAAGCACAGAAACCAATGGCCAGGAGCAAGGCAATGTACTATTATCGTCAGTAAAGGAAGTTTTCAGTAATGAGTGGAAAACAAATGTGAAAATGCACGCCAGTCGTTGAAGGACTTACTTTATCGCGGTCCCACAATGTAACCACACGCAGAATCACCAGGACGTTCCCACTTGCGATTGAGCAGATTCCGATGGTGAAGGTCACCGTGACAACTACTTGACAAGACTGGAGAAGAACAGGCTCAGTGAACACCTCTTTCTGTCGTAATCGTATGGCTTACGGCATCAGGTAATGCGTCTTCAGTGAAATGGTTCATGACTTTCGAGTGAGCCAAAAGAGTGATACAAGAGTAAGTAGCTCTAGGACACCAACGATTATACCTGTTACTTACGGACTGCGACGCATATTTGCAAGATGGAGACGACATAACGGTTCAGGAGGAAGACATGTTTCGCGAAGGAAGACCGAGCACTCCAGATAAAGTCTACCTCGTCGGGAAAACTGAGTATTTGATTATAGAGTAAAAGGACAAGCCCTATCCCTATGAATAATGGGTTTAAATGCGCATATAGGGAGTAGTAGAAAGCAAGGAACAAATTGATGAAGGTTGAGACGAAATATTTACCACTGATGTAACGCGTCGTATTCGCATCTCGTATACCTTGTACCACTTGGGCTGGAGTAAGCTCACCCAAAGAGTCGGGCATATCCTTGCCTTTGACGCTTCGGAAGGAGGGAAGGGAAGAAAGCTAGGCCTGGACGAAGGAGAATGATGGAGCCTGCGCAGCAGACTCACAAGCCCGCACAAGATTGATGCTAATGGTTCATATAGTGAGACAACTTTGAAGAAGGTGGAAAAGGGAAGTTCCCACTACCCAAAGATGCCTAGACAGATTTTTGAAATAAATAAGACGCAGGTCCAGAATTCGCTTCAGAAAAAGCCTATTCCCCTTGGATACGAGGCTAAACGAAATGATTTGGTTACCTACCTCCAACAAGGACGTGCGGATGGCGCGGCAGAAGTTCACTTGACCCCTTCTATATTGCAAGAAGATCAAACAAAGACCCCACAGTTCATCCCAAAAGCTTGATAAGATTGTCAATTGTACTAATGCAACGGACGCTGAAGATTTAGTCAGATGAACTGTACCCACTGCCACATGACGAACTTGATCATTCCAAAACAGACAGTAATCGCCTGGTGCACAAATAGCAAGCTCTACCGAGATACTCCCAGGCAAGTCGTGGAGACACAGTGCTCAAGCTCTGGATGCTTCAACGATGTTATAACATAAAATTAGTCACCATCAAGCAAAGTCGGCGACTCGAACCGGAAGCGAACTTGCGTTGCACCCGCTACTTCAAAGTTCCCTTCCAGCGTCTTCTTTCATCCAATAACGTTGTGATGGCCATTCGTTGTTGAACTCTGTCTGTACAAAATTGAAACTATATTCGCCGCGGTATTGCGGCGACAGTGATCTCGCAGGTAATCTTAGAGATAGACAGGGTCGTGATGGCACTTATGACCCTCCTAAATATTTCTTTCTGGAAATAAACACAGGGATACAATTGTGGTGCGAGCGAGACAATTGCTGGATTAAAGTACAGGAATGTACATACTTAGCGTCTGCCAGTGACCGTCACTTTATGGCTTCCTTTGCCCTTTCCCACTTTAGCGGCTTGAGAAAGCGGGAGATAAGCATATGGATCCATTCCGCCCTTCTTGACATCACCACCAGCACGCTAAAAAAACGACTAGTATTAGTGATCGTCGCATCACAACTCCACTATGGAATGAATTCACCTTCGACTTGAATTCTTGTCCGACTTTGACAGGCTTTCTTCGCTTCGCTTTCTTGTTTTTCCCTGCATCTACCGCTGCGCTGACATCTACCATCTCAACATCCTCATTCTCCTCTCCATCCTCTGCGTCTCTTCTGCGCTTCTTCGTATCCTTGTGGAACTTGACACGCCCACGTTGGTCACGCGTGAAGCCATCTACCGAAGTGAGCGTCTCGCGATATGCTGCTCCAGCCATTCTAGCATCTTCATCAATTCGTTCGGCATCATTATCCGAGTCGGATTCAATGACCATTTTGCCTGTGTTCCCATCCGTTTTGAACTTTGATACGTCTGCACCGGGTTTGCGGCCTGCCTTTCGCACGTCTGTACACATAAAAAGTTAACAACAAGTACAACGAATGGAGTGAGACACTTTGGAAACTCACTCGTGACGCGTGTACTGGCCCCGTGCAAGAGATCCATCGGCTCATCGTCGTCAACCCGTAGTCGGGCACCTCTATTATTGGCCTTTGCTCCCTTTTTCTGTTCCACGTTTGCATGTAACTCATCATCACTGGCATCACCGTCGCTCTCACTGCCATATAAGACATCTTCAAACGCATCCTCCGCGACGGCACGCACTGGAGCGGCTTCCTCGTCATCACTTTCTTCCCCTGCTGCGCGACGGGCGGCCTTTCTACGCTTGACACGGTCCTTTCGCTTCTTGATGGCTGTCAGAACCTTCGCTGCTTCCTCATCCCTCCCTCCTCCACCCGCCGCATAAACTGCGTCCCAGCCACATCGTCTTATAAGACGCTCGAAAATATGTCGCACTTTCTCCTTGAAGTGATTCTTGTGGTCATGCGACCAGCGAAGCAGCACTGGAACGAGTGCGTCGAGATGTGGAAGGAGGGAATCGAGAGGACGAGTGTGAATGAACAGCTTCACGAAGCCAAACGTCGACTTGACAATTTCGCGGTTCGCGGATCTGAGATATTCAAGGAACGTCAGGAAGATTTCGTTATGCATTTCCTGAGAGATATCATCTGATATATCGTAGATAAGCCATGTACCAAGACGCCGAGAAATCGCATACTGCACCTTTGAACTCGAAGATCAAACGCGAAATAGCAGTGACGCTTGCACTAATCATATGAGGACTCGCTCCAGCGAGACCACCGGCAAGCATCGTGAGGTACTCGTCCAGGCTCGCAGGCGCTGAAGATATTGGTAAATAATCAAGGAAGCCTTTTTCATCACTCATGTTTGGATTACCTTCAGTAAGGTCGTCCTCATCCATGCCATTGAGCTTTGCGTGCTTTACCACACCGCCTTCCTTCATCTTATAGGCCATTGCGACTATCAAGCCGAATGCAGCTAGTCGGGCCTTCTCAGACGGCTCCTTCGTACCTAGTACGGCTTCGGGAATGATCGCTGGTATGACGTGCAAGGCGTTGGATGGAAGGGCTGGAAGGAGAGCTTTGAGGAAAGTAAGGCGGTCCTACAAATAATTTGTTATGAACAACACAAATATGCATGCAATTTTTAAATCCACCTTTTTCGCCGCAGATAACGTATCTTCCGCAACTTCGTCCATCTTCGCGAACAGGCTTTCTGCGTCAATCTCAATTTTACCAGCACTCGTAATTTTGCTCAGAAGCTTGTATGCACGCTTCTGCACTCCGTTGTCTTTGTGCTTCAGGACCTCCGGGCTAAGGCATAATTCAAAGACAGTTCGCGTGTCCTTCTGCGAAAGGTAAGGTACGAGCAGGACAAGGATGTCTTGCATCGTGGCTACAGTGCTACGTTGATCCTCGCTTGCATTTAAGTGCGTGTTTGAACCGGAGCCAGTTGCCTTAGGAAGCTTCACGAGATTGGCCTTGAACATGTCGACGACTTTTCGACAGGTCTTCGACATTGCCTAGTAGAACGTCAGTGGAGTCATGACATGGGTTATTAAAACTGTGGTTACCTTCTCATCCGTTATAGCTGCCCAGGCACTAATCACGTCGCCTACCATGGCATGCTCGTTGCGTCCTACGGAGCTAAAGACATTAAAGAGCACGGCGAACCAGCTTTCTGCCTGGGATTTAAGGAATGCAAGGTTTTGTTCCGCTTCCTCTGTGGAAAGAGAGTCATCGCCTGCGGTCCCTTCACTCGCTCGAGTATTACTCTCGACGATGACTTTGAGTGCCTTGAGAACTGGCGGACGGAGTTCGGGTTGGTTATATAAAAGCTGTGATAGCATTTGTGCAAATTGAGGTGTCAAAGACTACCGAAGTGTCCTGTTAGTAGAAGTTTAGGAATAAAAACTGCGAATAGAATTCACCTCTCTAAGGTCCGGTGTTTGATGGCAATACGCAGGTAAACCATTCCAGACTTGCGAGACCAGGACGCTCCATACCTTCGCTTCTGCAGCACGGTCCTCTGCATCCGCACGCTGTTGCAGGTCGAACATGCGCTCTGTGAGTGGAACAAAGTACGAGATGAAGTGGCGTAACGGGGATGGGTGCAGTTGGACGAGGAGTGGGAGCAGGAAGGCCCGCGGTTCACGACCGGTAGCTCGATCATCTGGTTCGAGGTTCAGAGGAAGAGCAGCGAGGAGAGCCTCTGGGCCAATCACAGTCATAGCTGTTTGTAGCACATCGTCAGCGGCTTCCTTATGCTCGAATCCCTTCTTCACACGCATATCCGCAATTTTCCGGAGAAGCGACATGAGAAGACGTTCTGCTGCTGTCGGTGACCCTCGTCCACTCGGACGGTAACGTAGTGCAAAGATGAGAGCGGACACCGTATTGAGCAATTCTGGAATCGCTCGTACAAACGCTATTGAGTCAAGCGCCTTGCTCAGCTGTGTAATGATTTGAGTAAGTGCAGCTTTCTCATTCCCGAGCGATGCTTCAATAAATTGCGGAGATATGCACTGTGTAAGGCGTGTCAGCGCTTCCGCAGTCTCTCGACGCGTAGTTGCATCGGGAGACTCGAGGAAAACGAAGATAGTTTTCCAAACGCGTGGAAGCTCTGCTGTACAAGCTTCAGGATCGACGGAAGCATATACCGGCATGACTTTCCCTACGACCTGTACCCAAGGCGGAAGGAGACCAATATCCGTTTTCAACGGCGGAGAACTCAGGATGGCTTGTAGTAAATCAGACGTCGATGTATCGATATTTCGGGGCATGTCGGGATCGTCGGGGATGGAAAGCAGGTCTGACAAAACTCCATAGGCGGATTGAGATAGGAACGGATTGCCTAAACGAGGAAGCGATAATAAAGAGGTCGTTATCGCAGGTAGTGACGATGATGGGAGGTAAGGTAAGACGGGACGGATGAACGCAAGGAGATGAATGGCGGCATTAACAACGTCGTCAGTGTTTGCATTTTTCTTGCCCTTCTGCTTCAGCGAATTGACTTCTGAAAGTGCATTTATGCTCCATTCTCCAACTCGTTCCGAATATGGATGTCGCAATAATGGGCTAGGTGGAGATGCAAGTACATCTCGTACGATATCTGCAGCACGTTTCCTCACTTTCGGCCTTGGATCCAAGCAAAGCTGGAGAATGGTGGCAAATGTTTGACGAACGGCCTGAGTTTCGAGTTGCGTCCGGTCCAGAGCACGTAGGACGGCATTATACCAAGTGAGCTGAGATCGAAGCGGAGGAGCATGCGGATTTAAAGGTGTCCACAGTGGAGAGGTAAGGGATAGCAGGTTGCTTAGGCTAGCTCGTATTACCGGTGCAGGGACGAATGGACCGATCAATGCTAGGAGGTAGAGTTCGGCGGGAAGTAAGTCGCCGTCGCCTAATAGATAATTTGTCTCCTTCTCCTTTTGCACTGTGCTCTCCAGCGTTGTCAATAATCCAGCGAAGTATGCAGCGGGTGTGCGTTCGGCATTTTGCTCTTTAAATGTTTCCTCGAGAGCAGTGAGGAGATTGGCAGGGATCTTTTGGTGAGCAAGGGAGGAGGAAGTGTGAGGCCTGATTTTTGAGAGTGCTTCCTCCATCTCTTGAGCGTACATCCCCGAGTCGTTCTTTACAGCTGGCCTCTTGTTTTTGCCGCCGTCGTTTGCGATGAGCGGGAGCATGTCCTCTGCTAAATTTTGGCTGCATGGTTCGCACGTGCCTTCGAGGTCACGGGACCTCGGCAATGCCAAGACCCCTGGATTGAGGCACAGCAGACTCGTTTGCTGGATGCTGTCCACTTGACTGCAGACCGCCATCAGCATGGCTGGTCAGTATACCCCTACACCCTGGCCTTATTTTCTCGTTAGGTACTATAATTTCAAATATTTAAGGTGAAAGTATTCACCAATTCTACCAGGTTGCTCTTCAAGTTTGTACTCAAAATATTTTATGGCTCCATTGTTGTCGAGAATACACACTTCATCCCAGGCAACGGCGAACCTTGGTTAGTGGAGTAATTTATTGGGGGGAACTGCTTACTCATAAATTATTATTATTATTATTATCAGCATTATTTGTGCAAATCATAGCAATTCGCTAACAGATGCTGTGTAAGAACTTCGGATGTACGTGGCGTACCCTTGCTTATAATTTACAGCCTACTTGTTGGAACAATTCCGTCAGAAGTACGCTGCTGAATTTCCTTGGAATATTATTATATTAATCTATGTCCTGCAGAAACGCAACTTTATCCGCTTAACCGCAAAAGCCACTCAATTCGGCCGTAAGACTTTCACAAGTTGGCTTATCGAGGCAGCAGGTACGGTACCAATTAAGCGCAGGAAAGATTCGCCGGATGTGGCGGTCGACAACAGTGAAGTAATGGACAACCTCAAGAAGGTAAACTTTCCTTTCCAAATGCGGAGAGTCTTACCAAACTCAAATATGACAGGTTTTAGAACAGGGTGACGCAGTTTGTTTATTCCCCGAAGGTGCAAGCAGGTTTCATCCGACTATTGCTCCGTTGAAAACTGGAGGTGAATTACATTCTTCTTGCTATCCCAATGCACAGCTCAAGCTATTATCAGTGGCTCGATTAATCTCGGACGTTCTTACACGAAAGAAGGATGACCCAACATTCAGAATCCATCTATTGACATGCTCTATAACCTACATGTGCGTACAATTTCTGAAAGAGGGCTACAATTTCCTAATATCTAGATGCTAAGGCATCGGCAACACTTCCGCTCAGACATATTGATTACATTCCATCCTCCAACACCGTTTACTCCCAAGGTATGCACATTAATTTATTCTAAATTCAGGACTAACTGACAATCGGCTTGTAGGCGAATCCAGAACTCATTGCTCCCGTTGACTTTGGACACATTCGAACATTGACGAACCGCATGCAGCAGCAACTCAGTGCAGGCACATTTGACGCCCCGTCTTGGGATATCGTGCGTTGTGCGAAGCTTTCAGCACGAATGTACGCACCTTTGGGAACACACATGGCACTAGGAGACTACGTACGAGTCTGCCGTGCCTTTGTTGAGGCGTTTAAGTGGGCCGAAGCGGAAGGCCATATTGAGGGAGCTGCGACGAGCGGATCTGAAGAGGAGGATGAAGACCTCGTGCGGAAACGGTGTGCATTTGTAAATTCACTCCGGCGTGATCTCAAGGTAGTCAATTTATTATTTCTGAGCAATTCGATGGCTGACCGCTAGAATAGGACTACCAAGATCAACTAGCACGCCTCGGGATCAAAGACGATCGTATTCGCCGACCAGTTTCGCGACCTATCATTCTTTGGCGAATACTCGTTCGACTCGCCATGACTGCCGGACTCTTTCTCATCTCACTCCCTGGACTATTCCTCTGGCTCCCGATTTTCGTCGCGACGCAATATGCGTCCGCACGCATGGTGAGGACGGGTCCCGTATGGGATACATGGGACGAGATAGCACAGACGAAACTCGTTACAGGTCTCGCTGCAGGTTGTGCGGTGTGGGCTCTGGCTGTGCTTCTCACTCTCCCGATTGCTTTTATCACCGGTCCTGTAATCCCTGTTATCATGTGGTTCACTCTGCGCTGGCTCGAGGACACTATTGCCGCCAGTCGCGCCCTTCGTGCTCTCGCGCGGTTACTGTTGCTTGGCAAGCCGCGTTTGCGTGCCTTGTATGCCACTCGACAAGAGCTATATGCTCGTTTAATGGTACTTGCAGTCGACTACTTAAAGTTGCCACCAGATCCCGAGACGCATTTCTCCGAGAGTGGTGGAAGGGAGAAAGGTCGCGTCCGCAGTCGATGGGAAGGCAAGGTGAAGTACTTTTCCGTCAAGAGAAGACGAAAGAGGGACTGGAACGAGACGCTGAAGTTGTACGATACGGTTGACTATCCGGAGGACTCATTTTGAATAATGGGAAAGCAAGGAGGATCAAGTTGACGAATAATAAATATATGCTAATTACAAAACATTGAAGATCGGGGGCTTGTGAATGTCAAGGAAATCGGCAAACGGAAAATGTACGCTGATAAAAGCATAGAGAAAACAGAAATTCGTGTCTGTCGTAAGAGTGTCGCTGACGTTAGATTCTTCATCGAAGTTACGCTGATTTCCGAATTCCGAATTTTATTTACTGTCCCTCTTCTTCTGAGTCCGAGATCTGCCTATAAGCTCTGTTGCCTGCAGCCCATGCATGACCAGCGTCAGCAGAAATACCGGTAGTTACAACGCCGAAGATGATCAGAACGTCCGCTACCCAGGAAAGGGTATTGAGAATGTAGGCAGTGCCTACATAAAGGAACTCAGATGCAAGCACTATAGTAACCACGAAATGCACTCACTCGGCCTAGCGAACTCAAAGTATGGGTGATGAGACTTGGAATAGAGATGCGTGATAAGCGCGAAGGTGATGATCTTGAACGAAGCTGCATACGGAAATATAAGATAGAATGGACATGTCGAACAGAGGTCGTACGAACCATGCAGAGCCTCTAAGCCCGCAACGCCTCTCCAGATTCTACGTCTTCTCGACCGTGTGCTCACACCGATAAGGACGGCCATGAGTGTCGCAGCACCAAAAGCTACGCCCAGTTCAGCCGCGTAACCAGCAGTCCACCACATTGTGCAGAAGTAGCGGTTTTCGTCCTCACAGGCATCCTCCTTGCGACTTGGGAATGGTCTGCACGAGTAGTCTGTATAGCGGATTCGTCCACTCTGACCAGGTCCCGGGAAATCAATTATCTGGCGTTCGCAGCGCTCAAGGAGACCATAGCGGATCACAATCTTGGAGTGGAAAATATCTGGAGGATGTGCGTACAGCCTTTACGCGATAAAAATTCGTTTTAGCAAAAGTCACTCGTTAGCAAATAAATTTAATCTACTCACCAGTCTGGCCGCGTGATGGACAGGATGTTCTGCGCAACGACCGTCAGTTTTGCCGCCCATCCCTATTTCTATGTGGCGATAAAGATAGATTTACCAAGAGTAGGGTGACCGCAACGGCCAGAAAAGTAACTACGTAAGATGTCTTGCGCATCTTGGACTTGTCCCCAGGCTCGTGCTGGTAGTCAAGCCTTGATCGTTTGCCGTCGTCGACGTCGGTGTTTGAAGGCGAGGTAACAACCCCGGTGGAGAGGGTACTTATTGCCTCATGGGAACGACATGCCTAAAGCGCGAATCTTCCCGCATCACGTGCGACGCGCCGAAAGTGGATCCGACACGCTTGCAATTACAATTCCGTGGTTAGACCGCGACTGCCATGATTGAGGACAGTCCAGTGGCGCTAGAGCCTTCTCAAGACACTGCCAGCCTCGTCAAGCGTCTAGCCGGACCTTCTGTGACAAAAGCAGGGTAAGGTCTGGACGAACTTGAACGCCTAGATAGTAATTGACAAGAGAGCGCAAACAGCCTTGCAAAGGACCAGACCGAGATCAACCGAATAATTGCAGAGGTGTCCAAGGGATCAAAATTTTACGAAGTACGAATTGATGTCTCGACCAACGTGCTCAGTATTGCATACTCTTATCAATGTTGCATAGAATGAGAAACGCAAAGACAAGGAACTTACCGAGAGAATTGCCAAGATCCTCAAGATTAAGGATGATGTGGTGAAATCGGCCAACATTCGTGAGTTAGTTTTCGAGAAGGCCAAAACTGTCATATAATGTTCCCGTGAAGAGAGAGTCGAAGCGGACGCAGACAGACTAGTGAGTAATGCAAATACCGATGCCACTCGAGATCAACTCACATAAGCCTAGTTAGAAGAGCTCGAGGCCGAAAGAGATCTCAGTCAGGCTATCGTCCACGTAGACATGGACGCATTTTACGCTAGTGTTGAGCTTCTGCTCAATCCGGATCTCGAGGGAAAACCGTTCGGGGTATGCTTGGTCACCACATTATGCTGACTACACTGTACTGACAGTAGACACGGTGATAGGTGGGCAGCTTGAAGGGTGTTCTTAGCACAGCGTCCTACGAAGCGCGAAAGCATGGAGTGCGCTCTGGGATGGCAGGTATTCCACTAGATACGTTCCTCCTTGGCCAACAATACTAATCAGAAGTTATTTATCAGGTTTCGTCGCCAAGAAACTCTGTCCCGAACTCATTGTTATTCCAGTAAACTTCGAGAAGTATTCGGAAATGTCAAGAAAAGTCATGTCCATCTTCAAAGAATATGATCCAACCATGATCGTCGCTGGCTGCGACGAGGGCTACCTCAAGTGCGCGTTTTGCTTAATTGTACTCATTCTAAGCCTAATACCAGCACTTGGCTTCATTTGGTTCAGCATCACGAAATACTGCGCGCAACACGGTATATCTCCTGAAGACTGTGTCAAAGAAATGCGACAAAAGGTTCATGAAGAGACGAAGCTCACTGCCAGTGCTGGGATAGCTTCCAATAAGGTCAGGTCAAACAATACCTCGATCTATCTCTTCTCGGCTAAATATTATCTTATAGATGCTTGCAAAAGTACGACCTGTACAGTGTATATGCACTTGTGATTTATCTCTCATAATTTTTGCTCTTCTCAGATTTGCTCCGATAAGGTAAGGCAAGTAGCCCGCACTTTACTCTATTACTGACGAAAATTAGAACAAACCTAACGGACAATTCGCCCTCCCATCTGAGCGCGACGCGATCACTGCATTTATGCGTGACCTTTCTATTCGTAAATTACCAGGTGTAGGTCGAGTTCACGAACGTCTACTCGATTCTATCGGCGTCAAGGTAATTGTTAAACCTGAATATTGTCCAACCTTGATTGGCCAACAAGAGCAACCATGCAGACATGCGGAGATATATATGCTCACAGAGCTGTCATATGGCTAATGGACCACTATTTCTCAAAGATATTCTTGTATAGTGCCTACCTTGGTATAGCCTCGAACGTTGTGGAACCTTACCAGCGTGACGAGCGAAAGAGCATCGGAGCCGAGAGGTGGGTCCACCTTCACGCTTTAGAGATAACCTGATCAATGAAGTACACAGAACCTTCACTCCTATCAGTGACCATGAGAAACTGTTAGAGAAGCTTGAAGAAGTAGCCGAGGAGCTCGAGAATGATATGCGAGACAATGGATGGGCGGGGAAGACAGTTACACTGAAGTACAAACTCAATACATACCAAGGTAATTATTATTTGAGGCTTTACCTCGATTGTCCACAAGATTGCCCAAGAAATCTAATGCATGTTGATCTAATCAGTTTACACAAGGGCAAAGTCCTTCAACCGGTGGATCACACGGAAAGAGGATCTGTTCAACGTGCGTAGCAAGCCTGATTTTCGCATGCCTTGACTTTCGTTGATGTCTCTTCGTGCTATGAAGACGGGAAAAGAGCTACTAAAACCAGAGCTACCTTTATGCCTGCGACTGATCGGATTACGAGTAACAAAGCTGAAGGATCTCCGAGCTCGAGCAGATCAAGGGATAAAACGGGTGTGTATTAGTTTCATGTTACATTCGGATGAGTATATCTGACGTTATCAATTTCTTCTCAACAGTTCTTCCTATCTAGTACAACTAACCCCTCTGAACCTTCTACAAAGAGGCGAAAGCTCGACAGCTCTGCAGATGATCAGTTACACGAGTTTCAACGACTCGTAGATGAGGAAGAGGCAGACGCAATCAAGATGTCAGAGTTCCCGGACGAGCTTGACAATGCATTGGAAGCCGACATTCACAACGAGTCTCTTAAAAAGCCTGCATCTTCTACGAGTAGAGATACCTACGTTGATGCTGGAGAAGACCAGAGACACAACGCGAATTTGGATCCGTCAACCCCAGAACGCGATTTAGACGAAAACAACACCCAACAATGCCCAATCTGCGCCAAATTATTAGACACGCGGGATAACGCCGCGTTGAACGCGCATATCGACTTTTGTCTAAGTAAGGATATTATCAAGCAGGCGTCTGCTTCTGCATCTCATGGCAAGTCTCCTGCTATCTCGAATGGAGCTCGTAAACCACGGTCAAAAGTCGGGCCGCGGAAAGGTAATCGGACACTAGATAACTGGGACTGGAAAGGAAGATAGCCAAAGGGAAGGGGAAATGTATCGATAGTTGGATCATAGCAACCTGATCTAATAGATTGGTGGATTCGGTTTTCTATTTCATCTCGGGCAATCTGTATCTTACATAGCGAACGATTCCATTGTATTCTGTACACTCGATGATACATTCATGAGCAGAAGAGAAAAATATGGCAATCCAATGTCAGTGATCAGCATTTGAGTCCAAGCAATACGCTGATTCGCCTGTCTCCGCATATCAAACGCATATCAATTTACAAGAGGGTTCCTATTGCCTCTCCAGCCTACACATCGAGTAAGACCAGGTTATAAAAAATTAATAACGTTTTACATACCTTCACTAGTGTCTCCAACGCGCCTTGAGAATTCACTACAATGTCTTCATCGAATTTAACCATTCCCTGAGGGAACACAAGTAACACCGTACTTCCGCCATACGCAAACCATCCCAACTCTTCCGCTCTCTCTACCTTCTCACCAACTTTCTTACTCCACCCGATAGAGCCAACCAAAAGAGCACCTACAGCAACGAACGCAACAATTTTTCCCGTTACGTCTTCTTTAATGTAGACGACGTGTCTCTTATTCGCCGTGAAGACGTCGAAGTCGACTTCTGTTACGGCCTGTGGGTTAACGGTGTAGTATGTTCCTGGGATTTCGACAGGTCCGTGTACAATCTCGCCGGAGATAGGAGAATGGAAGCGATGATAATCCTGTGGTGCTAGCCGGAACGCGGCAATTGAGGCTCCTGCTGCGGGAATTGTGTATTCCGGGTTCGGGTCAGGACAGGGATTGTCCTTATGCGTGTGTGATGTGGATGGTCCGTGAAGGAGGGCTGAAAGGGAGAACTCATCTCCTTTAATCCTATGGAGAGTAATACATTTACTCAGATACTAAAAATAATAAACACAACCCTCACCAGACTTTCTGGGCCTCCTCAAGTGTCTGAAATACTGTCAATCTGCAGTCTGCAGCTGAACATACCCTTTGAGGATTCGGATCCTGCAGTGGTCTCGCACCAGGCTTCAATTTCCTACAAAACGGTTCTGCTAATCTCTTGCATCAATCGTGACTATATACACACCTATAGAAGAATGAGTTGAAGTTGGGATACTTGGTAATGTCTGGTTCGAGGAGTTCCGAAGTATCGATATTGTAAGTCTGGATGAACGACGGGATCGAGTGTACGCTTCCCGGAGAATCGTATATTGCTCCTTGCTGTGGAAAAAAAGAATCAGACTATGACTGACTACGACTGACTACATGCCCTCGAGCATTTTACCTTTTCAGATTGTTCACGAAAGCGACTCTCAAGCTTTCCTCCTTCCAACAGTCTCACTTGCTCTTTCCCGTAAAACAGCAAGTGCATACCAATCCTAAAATCGGATCCAATACAATCACTACAATTGATTCATCGCACTAATTTGTGTACACAGACCTTGCATAAATTGGCATGCTCTCGAATATCTTCACACTCCCAGGTGGTTTCGTTGGATCGCGCAGCGCAACAAAATTACCTCCATGATACTTCACCGTAACCTTCTCGATACCAGGAATGAGCTTCTCGAGCCACGCATAGCGCTTGTGACCTGGTGCGGTCTGTTCTTCGTCTCCATGTCCGTGGATGCCCTGTGTGACGTCGTGCTTGCGACTGTCTGAGTTCTCGACAGCAGCAGCCAGCGCTTGTGCGCTGAGGCTTGCTTCTAAACAGAAATTGTCTGCAGTCAGTTTAGGAGATAATCTGAGATTTTTTGAACGTGGACAGACCAGCTTGATTATCGGTGGAAGACATCAGGATCAGGATACCTGGATAGTGTCTGAGATCAGAGTCGAGCAGACGTTACGCTGCTGCGATCGTATATAAATGATACAGAGCACCCGAAATAGCACCGTGACATCACTACACCTATTTATAGCACACGTTAGTACGTAATATCGTCTCAATGCACATATATGCACACCACAACAAAACGAATTTCTGAATAAAAGAAAAATCTTTTCTTGCCTATCCCAGGGATTATTCGTAGAACGCTGCACAACATTCATTGTCAGAATATATTCTGCTTGTCTGGTCCATGGCCCAGCCATAAACGATACTGTACAAAGTAAATACAAAGTATTCTAGGGATCTTGTTGCATGAGTGAATAATGTTGTACTTCACGCCATAGGAGATCCCATAACAATGAGAAAACCCTTGTAATAAGAAAATTGGGCGGGATATAATCTGTACAGAGGTCCAATCGATGCGAATCATTTACATAGGAATAAATACGGCAAATGGGTATCAAAATCCGTTGTTCGACAAAGCTTCCTCAGGCAACCGAATCGTAACTTGGTAACTCCTCCCCACAGTCCCCGGAAAACCCAAGCTCGAATCGAGCCAAATCAAGTCTGACCTCTCTCTCCGTGCGAAGTACTTGTATCTCCGCCTCAAGTCGCCTGATGAGTGCTTGATCGTGTTGCATCTGGAATTGTGTGTCCGGTGTGTTGGTGCACGAGGAGCCGACACCGACGCGGAGACTCGAGTTTGAGTTTGAAGTAGCACGACCATCGGGTCGGTGTCCTACTGTCGTGCGACGCTTCGTCACCGTCGTTGATATTGACGGCCCGGGTAGCTGTGAGCTGAGATATAAGGAGGATGGTGCGAGGTGGATTCTAGCAGTCTCAGGCCTTGATTCCGTTCCACGCGTACCAGTTATACCTGAATTCCCGCCAAGGGGAATCCCGAGTCGACTGAGCGTGCTCCGCCTCCGGAAATACCCCTCATCAAGCGACTCAACAGCGTTTCTGCGCAAGACGTCATCTACACCTTTTATGAGTGAGTTTCGGACGCTTGGAGGAGGATTCGTGTTGGGGATGGGGTTCACGCCTGCCTCGAGGCGCGATGCGCTGCCGCGACGGAGTTGCGTTAGAGGGAACCGTGATCCTGACCTTGGAGAATGCAAGGTATCTTGCAAATGAGCCGTAGATGTGCTGGTTCCATGCGTTCGATTTCCTCTATTTTGCCAAACGAAACGTTCCCAGTGAGGCGACTGAGAAATCACTTCTGTCTTCCCACCATCAACATTTGTGACACTCAGGCTAGGCAATGGAGCCTTCCATGTGTCAACTTTCAAAAGCGCCTTACGCTGTCGAGTACGCAACCGAAGGAAGAGAGCGAGCACGACCACCACAAAGCACATCCCCAACCCAACCATGGTGCCGAATATAACCATTCCAGTACGGAGGCCTTCGGTTACCATACCAGCTCCATCGTCATTACTGTCACAGATAGCATGTATGCGTTAATTCAGATTTGTGACTGAAGTCGATGGTGAGAACGTATGAAACGTACGTATACACTGCATAATCAAAGATCGCAGCAGTCCGGAGGGACACGCCTTTACTAACTAGCGAATCCGAACTCACTATCGTGAGATTACGGACCCCAGCCACCATCGAAGTGCTTGTAAATACGACAAGGTTATATTCGGGTGTTCCGTACTGGTTGACATGTACAAAGTCATGCGAATATTGTCCATCGAGAATGAAAGATACGTTAATTCCTACTTGTGTTGGAACCGATCCATCGTGCTTTAATATCACACTTGGAGCGATGAAGTATGCGGAAAGGGACGAGCCTGTAAACATCGTGAGTCATCGTCATTTTTGATTCATAGCAACAAACGCACCGTTGAAGAGAATGCTCATGCTGCCTGCGCCAAGCACGGCGTGCCAAGTCCCGTTTGATGCGCATGTACGATCGAATAGAAGACCGCATGCCGGATGCTTGCCTTCACTGGATGAGGACACCCCATGACCACAGTCCGTAGACGATGCCCAAGACGAGTCATACACCACCCCGCCTTCCGCGTTAGACGTATCACCAGGAGTATCATCTATGGTATAGTTAAGCAGAGTTCCATACGAAGAGGTAGCTTGGATGAGAAGGTGGAGAAAGATGAGATAAAGGAGCGTTTCTAGCCTGTAAGTCATAGTCAGGCTTGGGATCGTCGAGGGTTGACGTTCATAATGCTGCTGTTTTTAGCACGAAGACTTCGGATGCCAGAAATGGGGTGCATTAGCTTCGAAAGCCCCTTGGATAGATGAGTGACATTTAAGATCCTCGCAGAGCACAGGTGCGCCGGACATCCGGCAGGAAGGTCGATAGTAGTGTTTTAATCAAGATTGTTGACAGTTCTTCGAGACTTCTTGATGGTGAATTATCTTTCGATACGAAGCAATTGACAGGGCGTCTATAGCAACGCTTTATCCATAGCATAGAAGTCCGATCTCAGCGAAGATAGAGTATAAACGAGAACTTCCGGTGACCAGCCTTGCTCAAGACCAAGACTCCAGGATAGAGGTTCTTGTATGGACGCGCCGCGATCGCCGGAACCAACTTCTGTACGTGATAAGCGCCCAATGAATAAATTCAGATCAATCAGAGTTCGATGTTTATATCTTCTTCCTTTGATCTATATGACGAATAAATCGACGCCATTCATGATCGCCGCCGCCAGCAGGTTGTCTAACATCTACAATGAATCCCATCATCATCTCGCTAATCAACAGATGTCGGAAGAGACAACTCACCTCTGATATCAATTCTAACTTATGAGTATCTTGTATGTAAAATAGGTTATTCTAAGCATCATCATCGCCCGCAGAAGGATAAATCAACCGTCTGTCGCCGCATATTCCCACTTCGCACCACCCCCATCAATAATCTTCGCATTAGGTACGCCTTCTAAGATATCCACACCAACGCTACGCAACGCGTCGACACACCATTTTGGATATACTGGTCCACTTGCTATATCCTCGCCACTCATTGGTTTTTGCGTCGCAGCTACGGTTGATCTAAAGTCGGTATCAAAGTACGTCCGGAAGAACGTACGAAGGAAGTCGGGGAAGGTACCGGCAACAATGGCATCCCTTGCCCGACCCATCAGTTGTGCTTGGAATGTGATGTTGTGCTGAGTAACGGCTGGTCGAATCATCAGTATAGTTGAACAGCGGTGAGAACTTGTAACTCAGTGTGCGGACCATGCGCAGCGACCGTCTCTTCCGCAACGAGATGGTGCAGGAATGCCCGAGTCATACCGCCAGCACAGGTTGGACAGGGGCATTCCCTATCAATTGGTTGCAGATCTTTGGCATGCTTCGCGAGTCCTATGCTCATTTCAACAATCAGAAGCGCGATGGAGAACAGCTTGTATAGCGGTAACCTACGAAGATTCAAGGGCCCTCGATACGTCAGTGCAACACCAAAACGCGCGGTTCTGGTTGGAAAAACACAATCGGCCTAGTGATTTCCAGTAAAAACAATCAGATACAGCTCGGGTGCAGTTGAGCAAGTCTGACCATATCAATGCCTAGTGCGACGCATACGAGAAGATCTGATAGGCATAAAATAATATTAAAATCCACATTTGTCACAGGGCGTGCTGGAGAAAAGAGACGTACCCTCAGCAAATCCGATACCCATGCAATATCGAGGTCCTGATCCAAGAAGCATAATGAGGTCAAGTGAAGCGGATAAAACGATATACTTCACCCACTATCAACTGGCAACATATCGGTACACTGGTTCACTCTGTAACTCTTTCATGAATGCAATTTTTGGTGTGAACTGGATTTCTACACCTACACTCTCCAAAAGTCATCTGTAGGGCCTCTGTCAACCTTTCTTGGCGGATTAGCAGCAACATCTCACAAACCTTTTGCTTCTCCACCACTAAGTCCTCCGACAGCATATCCAGGTACGTGTTCCTTCCTCTTGATCATCTCCTCAAGGCACAATTCTCGTAATCGTGTATCTAGCCCTCCCTGCACAATTGCAAACAAGTTCTGCGTCTTATTCTTCCCACTTTCTTCATGGAACGTGATACATCGGTCTAACCATCGTACGGAACGCCACATTGCTTCCTCGACGCGAGGTCCTATGAGAAGAGATGGAACTGGAGTCCGGTCGATATCAGACTTCTCCGTGCGCAAAATCTCGGAAGTTCGGTAACCTACCGACGTCGTCAAGTTGCATTATGATATCAGCACCGATTGAATGTTGAATCGCCATACTCTGCTCTGGCTACTCCAATTAACGACTCAAAATCCATCCAGCATTCAACCCATTACTATGACTCACGGACAGCATGGTTGGCTCCCCCGTAAACGGGCTTGCAAATAATGCCCCCTCCTCCGTAATCTTTGTAAATTGGCTCAGAGAAACCAGTTGGAATCCGCCACTATCCGTCAGCAAGTTTCTTTTCCATCCTTGAAGCTTATGTGCTCCGCCAGCAGCATCCAACACATCAATTCCCGGACGCAAGTTCAAATGATATGTATTATTCAAGATAAGCGTGATTCCGATCGCTTCCAATTGATGAGACGTAAGGCCTTTGATGGCTGCTTGGGTCGCTACAGGCATGAAAGTCGGTAGCATCGTTGGTCCGTCTTGATGCCACACATATATGTAGATACGGCATTGTTAGATCGCACTGACGGTGGATGAATGAATGAAGGCGCACGGGCGAGAGTCATTTTTGTAACACGCGCTTTTGTCACAGGACACTTAGCAATTATTTCAAACTGCATTTTTGCAATGAAGATTGCATCCAGAGGCAGCCAGGGACCAGAGATACTGTGAAGATGGTTTCGAACTCAGAGTCAGCAAACGCCGATCGTGGAATGCAAACATGTGCACACAACTTACTGTACCATACCAACTCGTACAACGCACTCAGTCTCTGTCACCACCAGAATTTCGTACCGAATATCCCTCCAACCTGTATGGAGAACAAAATTGATAAGGTTTTTCGTGCTTGCTAGCCTCCAAGATTCTGTTTTTCGCAAGATCTTCTGCTGGGAAACAGTCATTAAATATTGATTCATTGTTTACATCTAGTACTTTACAGTAACAATGCCTGCTTTAATTGGTCATTTTATCAAAAAAGTTCGACAAGGAACAAGAATACCATTCCTCTAACTGGCATGTATCTGTCTAAATTTTCTGTGCACTTCCCAGACTTGCATAACTGTCGATTGCTTTCAAGCAGAGCAGCAAGTGAACATTAAAGTGTTTGGCTTATTTTTTCCCCTATATAATATGGTGTACTGGCTCTATTGTTACAGGGCGTAAGATGCACTGCTTCGAATTCTGCACACCAACTCAGACCCCTAAACGAGCATTGACATTGTGAGTGGATCTACTGCTCTTGTACTAGTTGATGCGAAGGGCTCGTTTCAGTGGCTAATGAGTTAGATTTCAAGTTGACACACTGGCTCAGTGTCGAAGCAAGGTATCACAATAATATGACTTCCCAACTAGCAGTATACAAAGACTGTAGCAACGAATCATCGAATGAAACTTCTTATCCCCCAGAGAAGGATGATGCACATTGTTCTTTCAAAGCTCAAGCCATCAGATCCACCCTTCTATCGTATTCTGACCTCCACAGATTTCTCGTCTCAGCTAAGACTGTGTCGAAGCTTTGCATGATTCAACTCGAATTCCCTTATCCCGTCCTTAGTCGAGGCATTATTTCACTTCGAATCATCGTGCAAGTTCACTCCTTATAAAGTGCCCAGGATGTACCCTGCCTAATGTTTAGTACACTTGCTTTCAATGGCAAACCAGACGCTGGAAAATGTACTTATTCATACTTTCCGATCTCGTTCTGACCCTGAATACGTCGATCCAAGTCTGGTGCCATTATTCTTCTCTGAGATCGGTATGGCTATGTATTTCAATGTAGCGCTGTTGACTACCTTGGTATACCATGCTCGTGCGTACTATAATTAATCGAGAACCAGCTCCACTGATAGATAAAATTCGTCTAGCAACGACTATGGATAGAGAGGTACATAGTTAGTCTTCATCTCTCAAACACATACTGAACTATGTGTCCTTAGGTGAAGTACTTCTGGGTGCGTTTAAACTCAGCTCTGTACATGCGAGTACCAATGACAAGGATGAAGGGCAAGCCGCTTAGCCTAACAAGTCTGGTTTATTTCATAGTAGGCGCTACTGTAATGTTTTGGCCAGCAAGCTCGTTCTGATCATTGTGGTGCAGAATCGCTATATGGGAATTCTGGGACAGGTCTGCAGCATTTTACGTGAGTAAATATTTACATGATCCAATTAACTTATGCAAAGCACTTAAAACGCATATATATATATATATTGCTAGTTAGGAGCTTCAACGTCGATATTTTGAGGTAGGATAGAAAGCAATGTACGTAATTAAGAGTGTGCACTGACCTCCGACCGAAATTATTCGCTTGCAGCTGTGCGTTGTAATTTTTAACCTCTGAGACATTATTAATTTGATAGTTAGGTCGAGCGACTAACTGAATTGGTAGCTTATGCAGTGAGTGGCCTGGCGTCATTTAGTAATACAATTATTTAATTCAGTCGTTAGACTTGACCATAATCCTGCTTATAGACTGTGAGCTGGTTAATAAAATCTATGTGGATATTTCATGTATTTACCAATTGTAGACATCCTTCAAATCCGAGTGCTGGCTCTGTACCATCAGAGTAAGCTTGCTATTTTCTCTAGAACATTACACTAAAGATCTCTGCAGACAAGACACTTTCGGTCTGCCTGAAGGTTCTCCTGGCTGTAGAAGCATGCCTCGACACTGCACTTCCTATTCGTAATTTATTGCTCCAAAATAGTCAGAATGTCTTTCTATTTCCTCTTGAATGTCAATCAAGCTGACATCAGTACGTTCTAGTTATTACTAGAGAACTTGCACAGGATATCACCATTTGTGCGCTTAACAGGGCTCCTTCAGCACTGCTGGACACTATCGAATGGTATGCTATTCATCTCTGTATTTCAGAGTGGACTAATTTGGTGTAGGATTACCCCTCTATCATACGGGACAATCTTGCTATGTCTAGCTCTCAATAAGAGCGCAGAGTACTGGAGAATGTTGTCAGGATTCAAAGGGTTCCATCTCGTTAGAGTTCTCATACAAGATCAAGTCCTATATTTTAGCTTGTAAGTGGGAATTATCGCACAAACGAAATTCTACGCTGAGCAAGATAGCGTAATATTCTGTAGCACTCTACAAATAGTTGAAAATCGAATTTATCCAGTCGATCCATTCGTTTCGGCTCTCCTGAATGCCGCTGGGGGTCCAACTCTTCTCTGCGTCCTCGGGGGCCACCTCCTAATCAATCTGAAGGAAGCAGGCTAACTCGGAGTAAACGAAGGAACGAATTACAGATCAAGGACCGTTAGCGACATTGAATTTGCAGACAGTATGTCTAGCCTCGCTTTTCTATCTTCAACGAAATTGATGCACCGCAGGTGCCCCAGCTGTAGCCTCGAATGAAGAAGGTACGGTTAGTGTTTGAATAAGGGTAACCGATGTTCGCTCCCTCTATAGACCAGGAATTATTTCTCCGAAATATTTTATACCTGTGTAATACAATTAATACATGTGTGACCTGGACGCACCTGTTCTTTCTTCTTCCTTTAATATATTTCGCAGTGTATCTGATATTTATTTCAGATGCCATGTCAGACGCCTGGCATCTGTACGAAACGTATTCGTGTTATTCCCATTTCCCCCTTTTCGAGGTGCTCGCTATTTATTATCTAGTTGTCATGTCAGACGGCGAGATTGAGAATAGATTATGTGCATTCAATACTAATATATGCAACCTAGAACCCAAATGCAGTCATGATTGTCGTAACTATGTATATACACTCTACAGATCCATAAGACGGTGCAGTCTCGCTACTCCTCCGATCTGAAGCAAAAAATGTAATGCGCCTTTTAGTATGCATTCACTCCTTGCACGACTCTCGGATACTTCTGACGGATTAACTGAAGACGTAAAGGAAGCATGAACATCTGACTTGTAATTCATTCTGAGTGGTCCCCTTACCTCGAAGAGTTCAGGAGCCCTGTATGCCAAAACCTCTGGATTTTCACCAAGTCCGACGAAACTGTGGGGAGACTCGTGAGTATGGAATTAATGTCATTTGCACCTTTTCAACGCACATAGTCGATACACCCGCTTCGATTGCAGAGCTCAACGTCAAAGCTGAAGAAAGTTTTTATTTACGTAGTTGCAGTGGAGCAGCGAATTACTCACAGCATTGCAGGCCAATGAGGAACGCGAAGAGTAGCACTGGTGCAGTATATTGGCCGTCCGTATTGTAACTCGGGTGTGTAACTTTCAATCAACATGCGGTCAGTAAGTTGATAAAGGCAGCAAAAGTAGAGCAAAGCTTACACCGCAAGTATAAATATGCGAAGAGTGAAGCACACATGCCGACAACGTACGCTCCCCATGTTAGCGCTGCAGAATCCAGTTAGGCCATCCCTCTTCCCAAACTCAAGACAATGACCGCTTACTCATTCCGACAAGAGAGTCATTTACAAGCGCATCGATACCTAAAATAAAGTAATTCAGCTATCTGTGATCTGATTTGGATAGAATACGCGTTGTTTCACCTCGATCCTTGAAGAGATTCCAAGTATCTCTCGCTGCCCTGATATATGGCTTGCCATAAAGGGCTGGTAACTCTTTCAATGGACCATTCTCAGTACTGTTGATTGCACTAGTACTCACCAATCTCAATGTATGCGTATCTATGCCCGTCCAGTCAGCACGTTACTGATGCAACGACGATGTAACGTACCTATTGAAGTACTCCACCATACTCTCAATGCACCCGATGAAGCACGCCGCGCAGCACGCCAAGATAGCCTCGATTGCTACATTACAAGTAACCGAGAATCAATATTCCACACGTTCTAGAGAGTTTCGATCATAGATTACGTACGATGGCCATCTGCATTGGCGTTTTGTCTGGCCGCATCGAGAACAATGCGAAGGATCTCGAGCAGCGTGACGATGAGAGATCCAAATGCGATTGATCCAAGAGAGAATGTAGAGGCACGAAGGAAGGACGAGAGTGTAGGATGGTTAGGCTATTATATGCACAATTTCAATTAATATCGGTTAGTCTGCGACAGCAACGACACTATTTAAACAAACCATTTGTCCAGCTTCCCTTGGCCCAAAGTAATACCATGCTGTCAAGACATTGGTACAAGCAATCTTCTAGAGCAGCTCTCAAACACAGATAAAAATAGACTTACCTCCGAACGGACCACCGGCCAAAGTTGCAAGAGCTACGTTCCCAACGACTTGCGAGGTCCAAAGGTAGGAGAAAATCTCATACGCAAGGAGACCACCAACTTTTGCGGATGAACAGGATGTCCCTGAGCTACATGCTGAAACCACAATGTAAGTTCGAGTAATGAATCGTTCTTTCACATCACGTACAGGGATTTCCAGGCGTCCATTTCGCGTACCTATTTTCAATATTTCAGCAAAACATGGTGTACAAGACAACGATTCGAAGTTGTACTCACGTCGCAATTGTCACAAATGCGAACCACCTAGAATAGAACATATCCAGTCAGACATGGATTTAAACGTAGGATGAGCCTTGAGAGGGATAGCTGTACTTACACGCTCAACGCCGCCTGAATAATCAACGAAGTGAACGCAACAGCGTACACACTCAGATGATGCTTCGAGATATCCATAACAACCTGCAAGAGCAGCGACGCAAGCGGAATGCGCGAGCGGAAGCCGAAATACGATAGGATCGAGAACAGCGCGATTATGGTGAAGATGATAGCACCCGCTTTTCAAGAATTAACAATTATCATGATGAGCATAATGATCTCTTATTCACAAGGAAATGTGAACTTACAGTAATACTTCGTAATCCAATAATACACACAAACTCCACTTTAAAGTAATTGCTTTAACACCGCCCTCAAGCGCCTAACCGTAAAACTCAACTCACATATTCAAACAAATTGACAATATAAGTGTAACGTGCATAATTGCACGAGTGAAGAAACGCGTAATCATGAGTTGAGTCACCGCAAGTAGTAACGCCGCAGCCGTAACGAGTAAGAGGAGGTAAACGGTATGCCTAGTTTACCATTTGTCGTTTCCGATTAATTCGGAGAAAACATATTTGACATAAAGCAGATAGCAGATGGTCAGTATGTAAATTTGTACGCGAATAAGCATGAGAGGATGCACCTGTTAAGCGTAACAGACGATCCAGTATTCGTGCCATTCGAGCCTCCACCGAGCCCACCTCCCAGTCCACCTTGATCAGTCCAAGCACTTAACACAATACCCGATATTATACAATATCCCACGAGCTACGGTGTCTCAAAGCAGTTTGAAGGATCAGACCCATAACCCAGTCCAATTTCGATTCAATAAAATGTTGGCATCCAAATCGAACAAAAGTTTAAAAAGAATAGAAACCGTCAACAACCCAGCCTCAATCCAGATCCTAGACACGCCTGACTCACCTGCGTAATGAAAAGCACAAGGAACACCGGGTCCTTAACCCTCTTTTTCGGCTTGAACCTCTCGCCTTCATACGGCGACTTCACATCCGCACCATATCCTCCCGCTTCAGGAGGCGGGGGCGCACCAGGCGCGTAGGGCTGCGAGTGTCCCGGAGTATACATCGGTTGTGCCTCTTGTGGCGGATACTGATTACTGAAGTAATTGGGCATAGAATAGTCGTAGTCGCTGCACTTCCCTGAAGTCGATAGATGAGAAGCAAACGACGAACCCTAAGTCTCTTAAGTGAAAGAAAAGACAGCTTGGCAATGCAGAACAACGCCGCGAGCGAACAACATGGCCATGCCGGACCAGATTTCGGTCTCGGACGGCTATGCAGCAGATGCCGTCATGATTCGCGCCTATTTTAGCCTTACACAGCAACTTTGATCCGGTACTGCTTAAGCGATTCTACACAATTTGACCTCCTCTTCGAGCCCAAGTAAAAGGCATAGAAATTCGTATCTACACATGCCCATACATTTATATGTAATTTCACAGAAAGAATATTCCATGCAATAAAAGCAATTCGAGATACACTTAACCCGGATAGACAGCAACATTGAAACGATCACCTTTACTCGGCGTCAACAGACATCCCACTACCCTGTGTGATACAGAAGCAAACTAGAACAACGCTCAACAGGATTACTGATGGACCCGTTAAGGTAATCAGGAACGCAAGATCCCCGGCTATCCTCAACATTCCTCAACACTTCTGCCACATTTTCACGTAGTCACTAACAGATGGTAGTCAGCGGGAGCGTTCACTACACTGTATAATAAAAACGTACATAGCCATGCCACGACGAGTGGGGTCCTGGGGCCATGTGGAATACCAAGCCTCTTGTGCTTTTGCAAAGTCGTGCATAGCGTCTACCGAAAACACTGTCAGCGTTTCGATCAATTTGAAAATTATTGGCCGAACACACACCGTTTGAGCTATCGAACCACATTTTCCCACCAAGGGTATCAGGGAACCAGCCGTTCCTGCCGCCAACGGCGACATTCAGGATGAGATAGAATGCTGTCACAAATACAGATGTTAATAACTGCTAGACTCGAAAGCAAGCAACATACGCCTGTCAAAAGGTGCAGAGTTGCCCCTATGTGCCCATGGGTCCCTGATAACAATTTCCTCTGTATTATTCAATGCTGTTTTCGGGAAGTCGACTCGGTCGAAGAAAGGCTTGTCAAATCGGATATTAAACATAGGATGCAGGGGCGTGTCCACATAAGACCTCAAGAACGTGTCAGACCATTCGAGAACAAACGTGTGGAAATCGTCCGAGAAGTCGGTACGCCTTCCAGTGAACCAGCCATGCGTTTTGTCGACTGCGTTGATGAAGTCAACAGGGCCCCAGTTCAGAGACGTACGGACGTAGTTCCGTCCCCTTGGAACAGAAGTATATAATGATCAGCTTTACACGAAACAAACCGAACGATCAGCACGCACTGGAAAGGATAATCGAGATCATTGCCGCGGGATTCCATAAGGTCAATTTCCCCGCTAACTGGCCATGGACCATATTCATTATCGACAGGAAGCATCCAGATTGCAGGCCAAATCCAATCACCCCTAGGCAAGCGAGCGCGGATCTCAACACGACCATATTGGATGGCATGACTGTACTTTGTCGTAAGACGTGCACTCTGGACCGGGTTAATGACGCTTTTCATGGTGGCATTCGACACTGCACTGCAATGGGTGAGATTCCCATTCGTACATCCGGTGAGGTTGTACGTATGATCATTGAAAATTGCGTCCTTGCCAATGACGTCCGAGGTGAGGGTCGGGACAATGTACAGAATGCCATCTTTAACGTAAGAATTATTCTCTGAGGATGTCATCATCTCAAATTCGCGGTTCCTGTAAAGTATTCAGCCGCACTCATCGCTGACGGAGAAGAAGAAGCACTCGCCCAAATCCACTCATGTCAACCTCATGGTACCAAGTGTTGAGATCAAGTCCATTTTCAAAATCGTCGTCCAAGACCAAACAAAGGCCTCCCACATTCTTAAGCTTAGCCAGGTTTATCAACATGATAAGCGCGGATCCGCTAGCCATGAGTAGGATCATTGTCCATGTGACTAGATAGCTCACGTATGAGAGGAAATCCTTTTTACCAAACCAAGGTTTATAGAGTGGAGACCGCTCAAGATCTAGTAGCGCCGTTGATTTGAAGTACGTCCTCTTTGGGGCCTTCAAGGCCTTCAAGGGGCCGGGTGACCCGACGACCGTCGCTGTGGGAGAGCGTGGGGTTTGGGGAATAGAAGGTGGGCAGGCAAGTGGGCTACGCGAACGGTTGATGGGACAATGGCTTCCAATAGGCGTCATCGGAGAAGACGCTAAAGAGTCGCGCACCTGGCTAAAGCTAGTTAAGGAGTAGGAGCAAGCACGCGCATTGTCGTCGATAACCGTGGTACGAGCTTCGGGGAACGGATACACGCCGGTTCCGTTAAGGTCGCGAGAGTAGCATGAGAGGGTGCGGACACTGTAAGGGACCTCAGAGGTATCTGTAGATTCACGATGCATGTTTTGGAAGTTGGTGCCACTCAAGGAATTCCGGTTGTACGCTTCAGCTGCTTCAACCTGGGAGGGGAAATATTCAATTTCTTGCGTGTCTTCGGAGTCATCAATGCATTCGTCTTCAACGAAATAACAAATTAAGCAAAGTCAAATTGATATTACAAATATTATTATCAACTCACCAAGGAAAAGAGAAGCGCGGCGCAGAGGACGATCGGGACAAGGGGAGGTGTTGTTTGGATTGTACGACATGATTGAATGTTCGGAACTATAGTCGGTGATACTGGCAAGAGAGACAAGAGAGAGGAAATGAGCGTGGGGGATAGAGGCTACGTAGTGACTGTTAAGGAGAGAAGAGTGGCTTGAGGTTGAAGACCAGCCCACAGAGGTACATTTTATAAGTCCAGTCAGCCTCAATTAGAATACGCCTAGTGTTGTTGTTCAGCGGCTGACCAGGGATGGATCCTGCAATAACACTTGAAGAATATACTTTGGTACAAAGCAAGCTGTAAAGTAGTCCCGCGAAGAAGTCGAGCTTTCTTATTTGACCAACCACAAGACGTCCGTAACATCTTCCACGAAGCATCGACAAAGCTAAGACTAAGCATTCACCAGGATAGTTATTGGCAATGACGCATAAAACCTTTGAGAGTGCAATTATATCATGCTGATGACGTTCAGCTCAGGTTTATACTGTAGAACTCAGGAATGCAGCTGAGATAAAAGCAAGTCATGGTGGCAGAAGAAAGATCGTGCTTACACGCGAGACTCAGCGAAACGCGTCTCAAATTCCATCCATCATGCCTCCGCGCCGTAACGTAGATGACGCTGGTTCAGACGACTTCATCAGCGATGAGGATGACTTTCATGACGATTCGGGGCGCAAAAAGGTTGGCAAGGGTGCCGGGAAAACAAGTGGCAAGAAACGCGACAAAGGGAAAGGAAAGGCAACCGAAGTGCGTTCTTGCTTACTGTCTCTGTGCAAATGTATTCTAATGAATCTGATACATTGAATAATAGTCATATGCTTGGGAAGCAACGTATACACGCTCATGGGATACAGTCCGGGAAGACGAGTCAGGTAGCTTACAGGGCGCTGTAAATGAGTTGCTTGCTCGAGGACGTCGGCGTCGGTCTGTCTACCATACTTTCTTCCAAATTATTGCACCTCACTCGTATGCATGGCTCTTCGCTCTATACAGACTTCTCTTTCCTTCGACTGCAATCCGTCGCACTATAATCCGACACTTAATCCTCGTTATTGACCTTTCCGCTTCGATGCTAGACCGCGACATGCGTCCGACGCGTTTCGACCTCGCACTTTCCACGGCACGAGCGTTCATTGTCGAATGGTTTGATCAGAATCCACTTGGCCAGATTGGTGTCATCGGCATGCGCTCTGGCATTGCAGAACGCATTGGCGAAATGTCTAGTAAGGAATTTATAAATAAATAAAATTGAATTTACGTTAAGCATTGCAGGTAATCCGCATGATGTACTCAAGTCAATCCAAGACCGGCACAGGCTCGAGCCCGCTGGAGAGCCAAGTCTACAAAACGCCGTTGAAATGGCACGCAGCACAATGAGGTACATCTTCTCTTCTGCTTTCCCCTACCCTGAACATCCTCCCACCCTCCAGTTCTTAAATTCAATTTTCAAATCCAATAAATCAACAACGAAATATATGCAAGTCATCTACCAACGCATTCGTCTCGGGAGATCGTGATTCTCTTCGGGTCATTAACCACTGTTGATCCGGGGAATATTCACGAGACGCTTGATGCATGCATTCGCGACCGAATTCGAATAAACCTGGTCGCGCTCGCGGCTGAGATGAAAATATGTCGTGATATGTGTGGAAAGACTGGTGGTATGTTTCTGATATTTTTCTCCTGGGTCATGGACTTCACGCAAGTAAACAATATGTCATACTGACTCTGTAATTTATGCACGATAAGGTCAGTTCGGAGTCTCGCTGAACGAAGGCCATTTCCGGGACCTCCTGTTCGAGCTCATCCCTCCACCTGCACAACGCGCACTATCTCGCGCGGCTGGCGCAGGAGCCAGTGCTAGTGCAGGTTCAGGAGGAAACCCAGCAGCTGACTTAATGATGATGGGTTTCCCAACTCGCCTACCAGAGGCATCACCTCCTGCTCTCTGCGTGTGCCACTCAGAGCTCAAAAGCGCCGGTTTCGTGTGCCCTCGTTGCGCGGCGAAGGTGTGCGACGTTCCAACAGACTGCGACGTCTGCGGCCTCATGATCGTCAGCTCACCTCATCTCGCACGAAGCTATCATCATTTGTTCCCTGTTAAGCCATACCAAGCAGTGTATGTCCTAATTGATCGTTCCCTTTCTTCTCGTATTTCCCCCCCTCCCTTTCATCTCCTCGGCCAGAACTCTCCTAATTCATTCACTATACATGTCCCTCCGCGCTTCTTCGCATCTCCCAATAACGTCCTATCGCCCCCGCTAACCTTTCGCCATTGTTCCAGGACAGACACCGAGCTCAATAGCACAACTGCCTCACGAGCTTGTCACGGCTGCGCTTCCCCATTTCCCCCAGTCTCTTCTGGCACTAGCACTAGTACCAACCCTGTTACTGGTTCTGCTGCCGGGACTGGCGCCGCTGAGGGTGCGTCCGCTGCCGGTACCAGTACCGTGACCTCGGACGGAATGAGCCCACTCGGACGGTACCGATGTCCAGATTGTAAAAACGACTTCTGCACGGAATGCGACGTTTTCGTGCATGATGTCGTACATTGTTGTCCCGGTTGCGGAAAATAGACTCAAAAGACAAAGACACAGACAAATTGAGTTGTCATCTATCTAGAATAGTAATAGTAAATGCCATACTTATCTCTCATGCGTGGAGTTAACTGATCACAGTGATCCAGTGATTCGGTCCTGTAATTCTGGCTATTTCTAACTCAATCGAGATGCGCCGGAAAAATGAGGACGTCTTCTTCGTGGCGACAAAAGAATAGGTCTAATAACACAGAACAACCCGGCCTTTTGTTCGCCGACTTATCATGAGGTGCCAGCGCTCTGGTGATATCTTTTCTTGGGTCTACATTATGATTCGTCTCGCAAACTTTGAAGGGCCGGTCTAGCTCACGTATAATAGTGATGTGCCTCGGCCTGAGGGGAGATCCTGCAGAGATGGGTGAAACGAAGCTTATCGGGCGCTGAAGGGATGGTATCTCAATACACTCATTTAACCTTGATTCTGTCCTTCGTGGCGTGTGCTCTTGCCGAGCCTTTTGCCAAAGCTTATTCAAAATTATGTTCCCTCTGAGTCAAAGTTTGAGCTTACAAGTTGCCGTTTGCTTGATTCGCTACCACTGTCTGGTGACTCTGGCCAGTCATGATCAACACTTGTTGGTAACATGCACAGACAGACTTGACGGAGCAGTCCAATCGTTGCCAATGCCCTTGATGCCAATGAGAGGCTGGAAGCTGGAATAGACCTATGTCTCTGTAGGCAATCAGTTTAATTTGAGGTTACAATAATATGAGATGAACAATGAGGACATGAAATGGAACATAGAAAGGGAAAGGAATTACTATTAAGTACTTTTAATTTACTATTTAAGCCGTAAGCAAATTAAGAAAATTAATTCACTTATCGATCGCTTCCATCAAGGCACATAACACGTGTGACAACTCATCTGATGTAGTTTCCAAATAGGGAGAAAGCACTACGTCACCGTCACGATGCGCCCTTTTGGCAGTACACTCAAAAATTTTACAGCGTACGCGGTCGACTAATCGATCTGTGAGTTGTCCTCCTCGACGTCCTGCGCGTCCCTCTCGCTCTATCACACTCAAAAGAAGCTCAACAACCGTCGTATGCATCCCGAACAAGCCCTTTGCGGCGTAGAAGACGTTCCCTCCGTTCGCTAGCATCCCTTAATCCCACCTGCAGACATCGCGTGCCTCGTAACTCCTCAAGTTACCTGTTGTTTTACAACCCTCCGCCCAGTTTTAGCTGCTCATTAACCTCTTCGCCAGCATATCTATGGCCTGTGATGTAGACTCAGTTTGTCCCTGTCCTTTTGAAGGACCCGAAAAATTACTAGAGATCTGGTTTGCGCCTGGTCTAGAATATGTTCCTGATGCCGGTACGGCGCCCAAAGGTAGGAGTGGCCTACGCGCCGTTCAAAAGGAAGTTTGGGAAGAGATGCTAGACATCGTCAAGTGTAAAATCCTAAGTGTCGTTTATGGCGAAGAAATGGACGCGTATCTCCTCAGGTAAATATTTACCCAACTCTTACCAAAAGAAACAAGGGTCTCGTATGTGTCGTTGACGATATTATATGCCTTTACTCCAGTGAATCATCGCTTTTCATATCTCCACACCGCCTCATTTTGAAGACGTGTGGTAGAACGCTCAACTTGCTTGGTCTACCGCGTATTTTAGCGATCGCTCGCGAGCATGCTGGGCTTTATGCCGTATACCAGTGCTTCTATTCGCGGAAGGCCTTTATGTTTCCGGACCAACAGCTCGGACCGCACCGTGACTGGGGACTTGAAATCGAGTTTCTGGACCGTCTCTTTGACAATGGTTCTGCGTACACAGTCGGCAAAGTCAACCAACGCGGTGACCATTGGTTGCTGTACATGACAACGCCAGACGATATGAGCTCCAGTAGTGGAACAGAGATCAGCTCACTCGCTTCATCATGCATCTCGGATAGAGGCAGAACGAGGCAGAACGAAGACAAGTGGGCAATTGTAGCTCGTTCAGGCCTATACTCTCTCCCACTTCTCCCACCAGCACAAGATTACACAATTGAGATCCTCATGACACACCTATCTCCACATGCGCGTGCTGCATTCTACGCGCCTGACTCTGTCGACCCTTGCTGCACTGATGGCGAGTACGCTCCAGGCACGTTTGCTTTGCGACTCTCCGACGATCTCGGTATTTCCGATATTTTCCCCCGTCACCGCACGCACCTTGACGCGTATTCATTCTCGCCGTGCGGTTATTCGGCCAATGCGCTAATCAAATGGGGTGACCCTACCTCTACCTCTGATGCGGTGCACGAGGATCCTGACACGGAAGCAAAAATTGGCGAAGGCTATTATACGATTCACGTCACACCAGAAGAGGGCTGGTCATATGCGTCATTTGAATGTAATGTCCCGCTTGCAGCGAGACGGAGTACAGGAGCTGCGATAGATAACGCGGACGACATTCCTGATCTGCACACTCTCGTTCGTCGCGTTGTTCGCATCTTTGAACCGGGCAAAATCACAATGACACTCTTTGTCCAATCTCGCGGGGACGGTGACGCGGACGAAGGCAATGATGACGGAGAAACGGAGACGGCTGTCGAGGCGGCGCAGCGAGCGTTCAAGGCGGCTCTCACACGGGCGCCTAAAAGCTCTCACGCTCCTTCAGCTAAAAAACATCCAGAGAGCGAAGTCGGTGATTCTTCGGCGATGGTGGCCAACGGCGGACCTGTGGGCGGACAGGGCCATGGTTGGCGACCTGTACACGACAAGGTGTACAAACGCACAGACAAGATTAATTACGAGTTCGGCGGCTACGATCTTGCCTTCGCAAGCTTCGAAATGATTTGATGCAGGCCTTTACCTGACCTAACCGCTTCTACTTGAAATATCGTTTTGTTTATATCTTGTTTTGTCTTGTGCTGTGCTATGGATCCAGGACTACACGTGGCTTTCAGAGAGCGCTGATGTTATTATCAGTATCTGAGTTGATTCCCTTACCTTTTGATGACTGTTTCACCGAATCTTGCCGATGTCTGTCTTTTCGAACTTTGTAAAGATGTGTCCCGTAGGCTAAAAATCCGCATTGGAAATTGCATTGTCCTGAACGTCCGTCCGACGGAACGCATTCAACACGTGGATGGATATTATCAAATGTTATTGATAATGATACTCGACCAAGAGCCTGGTTGCGGAATTTGTATCGCTGTCTACGAATAAATGATTGCAGGCGGCGGTGACAAGCTAAGTGTCCAGCTGTCAGAGGGTGAGCTCATCCAATATGAGACTTCGATAGTATATTGAACCCATTGATGCAACAAAAGAGAACCAAAAGGAACCACAGTACACTTAACGCCGCCTCGGACTTTTCGTCTTCTTCGCTGTGCCTCGCGTCTTCGCGTCTTTGAGCAAAGGCCGTGATTCTGAACTTCCATTGATATTACTAGTCAGCATTAGCGTACCATGATACTTAATTGCACAGAAGCGAGGAAGGAAGTGGCGGAAAGGCGGAGGATATTCTTCTAGACGAGTCGGACCTAGCGGAAAGATGTCGACAGGATGTTGCGGGGAAGAAAGTCTGCAAGGGTCCTTGTGCGATCGAGATGAAGACGTTCTTCTGTAAAATTCCAGTTTGAAGATAATTCCGGAAAATGTGTGTTCTTAATGCTGAATTCTCCGATCTTCTAGGACAAAGTCAAATGTATTTGTTGACTTAACACGTGTAAGGTAAACGCTGTCTTGGCTAATTGTCAGCTGTCCGCAAAATAGTTCGACCTGGATTGTCGGTCTCCAATTTGATCATTAAGACTGGCTGTGCTACTTCTTCATAATTAATCGATAGGTCATACGAGAGAAAGTGGCAAAACATACCAGTGTCCGACGTCCCGCACTTCGTCTGGACGGAACCGAGGATGACAGAAAGCCCTCAAACTTTGCTTCTTTAGCCCTTTCACCTTCACTTCTTTTGCTGACATTTATTGCCACAGGAAGATTTCAAAGAGTATTCAGCCAAACGCGTAGTTTCATCTGAGTGATCGGAGTCGCTGATAGATCGCCAAGCCTTGAGGTGATGCTGAATTTTTCATTAAGATACATTAACCTTGGAAGCTGAGGACTTGATAGGAGAACAAGAAAGGATTAACCGCTGGGGCCCAGCATCATGATCAAATTTTCTGATAAAATTAGTAATGCTAGGATATTAAAGTCCTTATTCAACAATTCGGTGACCTAAGCCAAGACGTGGAGAAATAGGATAGATTCCGGAGTCAATGCGTTGTTTCATGTTGAGACCTCGGTTCCTGGAAGGTAGTCGGAGCCCAAATTACCACCATCAGGGCGCGGAATGATCCTAAGAAGTACACTCTTCGCGGGATGCTCCTTTGAGTTCTGACCAGGAGTCGACTTGACACCATGTTCTGCTCGTAAAAAAAACTTGCCCATAGAAGGCTGCCCAGTAATTTTCCGTACAGTTACTTGCAAAGTAGATGAGTAGCTGAGAGCGATACTTCCGGTTAAACTTGTGTTCAAACTGGTAAGAGAGATTCCTGAATTATCTCTACAATCTCTGGTGAGCCTGTTCAGAATTTTTCCCAGGCAGCAGTCGCGTGCTTAATTGAGTCATGAATGATGTCGATAGAGCTTCGTGTAATGTGTTATCAAACGATTGTTGTCATCTGTTTGTTGAGGCCGAATACAGCATGTACGCTTGGCGACCTCAGACACAGAGTTTTGCAATTGCGCGTCACGGCGGGCCGGCTTATTCAACGAAGACTTGTCTGCAGACACGTATTTTGTTGGCATATAGTCGGACTATATTCCTGTGCCTCTCAGTTCCTTATACCTGCAAAACGTCCGAAGAGACTAGGCTCGTAAAGACATATCCTGCGCGAAGCAGAACATTCCAGTCCCCTCGGAAACTGTCAAACAACTCAATGTCGTGGACTCGATGAGTGCAGACCGGATTAGTTCTGATTTCCTGATAGTCGCATCATTTACGGTCAATGCGGTCGTGAATGTGCAGTTGGCCTAGAATAGCGTAGTGTTCCAGTGTCATAAACAGGACCGATCGCTGCGTCGGATCTAGCTGAAAGACCACCGAATGTCTTGAGGCCGAGGCGCATCGGAGGTCAGATAAGTTATGCCTAGTAATATCTTTCAAGGAAGCAATTCGCTGCAAGACATACCGACTGAAGCACTCATGTTTGGCCAATTTGGCCCCTCGTAGCGGATCCGAATCATTCGAAGGTCTTGCATCGCATTACGTTCGCAGTACTGAACCGGGAGATTTAGTCTTCTACATTTTGCCATTATTCGCTGCCTCGAGGTCCGGAGACGCCCAACCGGGTCAGATGGAAGAACCTTAGCTTGCCATTGAGCTATCTGCATAATTCACGATGCTATATGCAACCCAAAAATCTTTCGTCATCAAGGATGCGCCGGCCACTTCCGACGGGAGAATCCAAGGGTTCTTACTTGATGGCCCCTAAGTTAACTGTGTTGAAACACGCTTTGGGTCGGCATCACAATCATCCAGCAAGGAGGGCGCTCAAATAGATGCCCGATATGACAGAGGGAGGACCTGCGGATCGGGTAGAGTGAAAGAGGAAATACAGAGCGCTAGGGACCCCACGAGACTGTTGCCTCATGAAACTCTATTGCGATTGCCCATCCTTCATAATATACTGGTGTTTGTAACTCATGAAGACCGTACAATTCACTTATTTCGGGAGACTAGTCGATCTTCGCCTGCGATTTGTTTGCAGATTGTTATCACAACGTGTTACTGTGTCAACATGTATGTTGCCGTCGTTTCGACTCACTCGAGCCCGGTTACAGCAACTCCCCATGGAAGTCGGACCATCGCCGATGTCTTCGTAGTCGGATTGCTTGTCTCGAAAACGCCACTCGCAGAGCGACGTAATACGCCTCAACATGCCACTGCAACGCATGTCCAGGTTTATTCAATATACAAAATGCTCTGGTGTCTAACTCCGCGCGATGAACACATACAAGGTCATCAAACCCAATGGGATGTTGACGAGCTTCCATCATGTGCGCTTCTGACCGGGAGATGCGCGTGCAACCGGTTCACTCAATGCCGCTTTGCAATTTGATGATTTGACACTGTTCATAGTTCTAGCCGTAGAAACTCTATTAACGACCTTCTTGAGGAGAAGTAGACGAGCTTCCAGTCGCTGTTTTTGTCTCTCGGGTAATGCGCTTTCGAAGACTGCGTCCCGACATAATAGTCAGCGGCGCCCCTTTCCCTGACTTTTATCGTCCGTTCTTGCCTCTCAACAACTTGTACTTTCGCTTTGCAGTACGCCTACACAATGAATGTCGTACGGCTGTCTCCAGCAAGTCCAACGGCCGACCTCCGAGCTTTGCAAGAGGTCTCGGACTTTGCTTCCACAGACATGGGATGGGGCGGCGGAGACCGTTGGACGTACCGAATACTTTCGGAGGAGCAAATTACGCAGGAACTGCACCGCGTGTCTCATCACGGTACATGCGGAAATATTGACTACGTCACTTTTCAACCTTGCACATCGTACGAGGCACGCTCGCAAGATCGCTTCGTTGTGCAACACTGGGATTTGCCTGGTGGGCGATGGACATTCTCTGGAGTCTTTGATGGTGAGGACAAGTTTCCCTTATGTCGGACCATTCCTGAGAATATATCATGTTGAAGGTCACGGTTCACATGGCACCGTCGAGTATGTGGTGGAACGTTTGCCTGCTCGGGTGAGAAGTACTCTGCACACGGCACTGTCGAGCGGGAAAGCGTCTCCGGCAACGATTCCGAATCTTCTCAGCGAGGCTGTTATGGATGTCGATCATGCTATCACGCGAGACTTCCAACGCTTATTCCCTAGCAGGCGGGAAGAATTAGCCCGACTGAGTGACCAGCAAATAATCTCGGCAATGAAGCCTAGAAATGGCACATATTCCCAAAGCGTTCTTCGTTGTATGCAGGGTTCGACAGCTCTCATAACTCTGGTCGATCCCTCCGGAAGTCATCTTTGGATTGCTAATCTAGGAGACTGTCGAGCTGGTAAGGCTCTTTTCGCCACAACATTTTAGCGTATTGCTAGCGCTACGGAGGCAAATGCAATTAACACTTCTCACCAATATAATCTAGTTCTTGTCTCAAAAAAGCCTGGAGGAGGCTTCTACGCCCGAAAGGTTACCGACGTGCATAATGGCGGGAATGCGCAGGAGCTTCGGCGCATTATGAATGAACATCCTGGCGAAAGGGAATGCATAGTCGAAGACCGCGTGCTAGGCTTCCTGGCTCCCACACGAGGTAGGTGTTGGAGGGGTCTATTAAAGGCGAAATACTCACTTTCCACGCTAATTTGTCGACGAAGCCCTAGGGGATACATGGATGAAGCTACCCGCCATCTACTCGCGCCGAGTACTCATGCGAACGAACGAATTCTGGTCCCATGGCCTCTCAGAAGAGCATATCAATCGATTAAAGACGCCGCCGTACCTCTCGAACGTCCCCCAGGTATCCCATTACCGTCTACGCAGAAACAGTAGACATTCCAGTCATTCTCGTCACGGTTCATTGTATTCAAATGCGGCAACTAGCGGTAGCGGGCCTCATGCAGGCCAGGGGGACGAGGATGTGGCGCTCCTGCTCTGCTCCGACGGTCTCGTGGATTTGTACGAGGATCAAGACCTAGAAGAGGAACATTATCTAAGACAGTGGGCCGCCATGATCGGAGAGGGCATTAACCAACCCCCGTCGCCACCCAATGCCACGCGTTCGTCAGCCGCTTCATCGGCCGGCCACACCTCGCTGGATAGAAATGGAAGTCGCAGAAACATTGCGGTGCACCTGCTGCGCGACGCTATTGGAGGTGATGATCTTTCTCGAGCATCGGCCAATTTGACTGTCGAGATGGATGAGCGTTGGATGGACGATACAACGATCCTCGTGCATAAATTTGTCTGAAATGGAGGGGCAACTTGTTTGCCGAATATGCAGGTATGATTATTTGTCATCTTCAGGTCTCGGTACTTCGCGAAAACAGAACATTGTCAAAACGAACGAATTCACGAACGCGTACCAGAGTTCACAGCTTTGTCGATGTACAATACGCTTTACTTCCGCAAGGGACAGGAATATGGAATGATTCTCGATGAGGGATGTCATGTTAGAATGTATCGTGCACGTCTCGTCGAGAAGCGGCCCGGCTCGTTATATGCTAGCCTTCCGTAACCGTTCAGAGATATGCCCCTCTTTGATTGAAATACAAAGCTAGACGGACTCACAGATAGAAGACGGGTTTAAAAATAGAAGTATTGTTCGGAAAATTTGATGATTGATAGACGGCAAAGAATTACTGACAGCGGCACCGAGGAACTCCTGGGGTAGTGGGCACGCGCAGCATTCGAATTCTAACGTTACTCCTAAGAGTCTCTACGTACATGCATCGCGGAAAAGACGTACAAGAATAGTCTTCGCTCCATATGGTTACTCACGCCTTCCACGAGCAGCTGTAGGTACCTTCCGCTTCCTGAATAAACCACCGGCCGGTTCAGGGACAGCCGGAGACGCAATTTCTTCCTCTTTAACGTTTGACTTGGCTGACGCCGTTTCGTCGTGTGATGAATTAATTTCCTGATGAGCGTCGTTCCCCAGATGTTGAGAGCTAATCGTTTCTGAGTGAAGAGGAGCAGGGCCATCCTCCTCCTTAATTGAAAGATCCGCGTCGTCAGACTTATTCTGCGTGCCGGCTTCTACATCTGTACCCGCAGTAGTGGCGTCCGCGGGCACAGTAGCGCGTTTCCACCCCATCGGCTGCCACTGAGGCTTCGCCCCAGCTGGGCTCAGCGACGTCCCGAAGCTATCAATCTCAGCAGGGTCGTGTTTTGGAGTATCTTGGCTTAGCGTCGGGACCGCAGTTCTTTCTTCCCTTGGTTTTGACTTAAGCTTTATAGGTAATTCTCCTGGGTCCCATATCTCTCCTAGGCCTGCACCAATCTTCCGTTTGCGCAGTTTGAAGTGCCGCCCATCTTCCTCAACTTCAAGCGGTGCTTCTGCTTCACGTTTCTGCGGTAGTGAGCCACTACAAACTCCGTCTTTCGAGTCTTCCTCTTTTGGAGGCTGAACGTTTATAGGAAGTGGAGGTGGAGGCGGTGCAACTGCCGTCCACTCGCCGACAACACCCTGTGTTCTTCGACGCTCTAATTCAACTTTCATCCGTTCCTCATCGGGATCCGTAATTCCGAGTGACTCTGCAGTCGAATAATTTGACCAAACAGAAGTTGGCCTTTCGGGCTTTTTGGAAGCTGCCGCAGTACTCTGCGCTTGGGAGACTTTCGAGGATGCTGAAGAAGACGCGTTTCCCGTAGATACATCTCGTGCAAACGATGCATTGGCTGCCTGAGACGGGTATCAGAATGCTTCACCAGTATCTGACCTACATTAATGACTCACCGCCTCTATGCGTGCCATCTCTCGCCTCTCTTCTTCGAGGTCCTTGTTCCGTCGTTCGCCCTGCTTGTACAGATTTCTAACAAATCGTTCCCTGTTTCCCTTGTGTCGCAGGCCAGACTCATGTTGGCGTTTCGATGGAGCATCGTCTGTGATGTACGTTTCACAGTACTTGCAGAAATATTTCTTATGAGAGACCCAATATTCTGACATGGTTGTTGGGAGAGGGCGTGACACAATTCACCACATGTGACACAGAAAATCACGCGCTACAGTCCAGTTTCTATAAATGGAAATAAGAGTTCACGCATCATCACGCCGAAAACGCGCTTGCCGCAGACCGCACACGTCCTCACAGACGTCCAGCTCGGCGTCAGCTTCCTTAATTCACGACGACCATATCGCAATTATAAGTCACGATGAGTAAACGAGCGCCCACAAAAATGTCGTCGTCATTTGCCTCGCGCACGGCGTTTGACGCACTCGCTGTGTCCGAATCCGAAGAGGAGGAAATGGTCGAGGAGCAGGAAGTTCAGGTTCCGAGCACGTCAGACATGTAGGCGAAATAATTGAATGCTGTCATTGAATGTGTCGGTAACAAGTCTATTTAATAGTACACCCAGTGTCCCCATGAACGAGCCTCCGAAGCTTTCAAAGTCGGCTCAAAAAAGGGCTGCTCGGCAGACGCGCCAGCAGTCCAAACAAGACAAGAAGACGAGGCGAAACGCATCTGCGTCCGCTTCTACTACGAGCAGCGCTGCTAATACAGATTCTTGCTTCCCACCCGGAAGTCCTGGCTCGCAATCAAATCCAGTTGAAATTCTCCCTGAAACGGAAAGTGAGACGTCCGCGGTTCTTGTCGACGCAGAGCCTACCACTCAGACCGCATCTACTTCATCGAGCGTAGGTATTCCAGAATCGGAGGCAATAATAAATGGTCATGCGCCGCATAGCGAGGGTCCCACTATGGAATCTCCCACAGTTCCAACGTCGGCATCATCGAGCAAACCACCGGCCTTTCCTACGTCACCAGTGGACCTCGCAATGCGTAAAGCATCGCAGAGCCTAGCCGTGAATCCCTTAAACAGAACAAATGAAAGCATAGATGCCCGCCCAAAAGCAACTTCTCCTGTCCCAGAGTCTCATGATAAAGAAGCTGCTGAAAAGACTAAGAAACGACAGAGCTTCATCGTTCGAACTCGATGGACATTTATCATGATTGGAGGCTTCCTATGTGAGTAATTATGAAATTTAACCCAATGTTCGCATACAAGTTCTAATACTAATTGAAAACAGTGTGTCTCTTAGCTGGACATGCATATATGATCATGCTCGTGATGCTCTGCCAAACGCTCGTTTATCGAGAAGTGACTGCGCTGTTTACTTCTGTTACTACCAAATCTGGTAGTGATAGGTCAAAAGGAAAGGATCCATGGAGCAAGACTTTGAACTGGTATTTCTTTGTCGTAACGAACTTTTTCCTGTACGGGGAAAGCATTATCTATTACTTCAAGGTTTGTCTCCTTCCTCCAACGTACGACAATATATTCATACTTATATACGAATTACGTAGCACGTCGTCTTTGCAGATTGGCACTTTTCGCTTTTTGCGGCAAACCATCGATTCACGAGTTTCATACTGTATATGATAGGCTTCGTTGGATTTGTTGCCTCGTTACAGCGAGGACATCTCAAGTCCCAGTTCGGGCTCTTTTGTTGGGTTCATATGTCGTTACTCGTGATCGTAGTATCAAGGTATTTCTCATATCAACGGGCCGTTTAAAAGTATTCATTTCTATCTTCTTAGTCACTTTATCATGAATAATATCCTGGAGGGACTGATCTGGTTCTGGGTGCCCGCCTCTCTGGTCATTTGCAATGACATCTTCGCCTATATCTGGGGTGCGTTGGTCTCTTATTCCCTTGACTCTATTACTGATGCTCCACAAAAGGTATCACAATGGGTAGAACACCACTCATCCAACTCTCGCCAAAGAAAACCGTCGAAGGTTTTGTTGGGGCGTTCTTCTCAACGATCGTCTTCGGCCATCTTTGGGGTGTATTCTTCATGCGTTTTAACTACATGACTTGTCCTGCCCAGAACCTTGGCGTCAACGCATTTTCGGACATTTCATGCACGCCAAACCCAGTGTTTCTATGGCATTCATGGGTGATCCCTGCTCCACTGCGGGTCGTCCTATCTGCGTTGCCAGGCCTTGGTGGCGTTGAGACAATACCTTATACTCCATACCAGTTCCACCTCCTCATAATGAGCTGCTTCGCGTCTCTCGTTGCGCCATTCGGAGGATTCTTTGCTAGTGGTTTCAAGCGTGCTTTTAATATCAAGGATTTCGGGCATAGCATCCCCGGGCATGGCGGAATGACCGATAGGATGGATTGCCAGTACGTGTTTTTTTACCTATTTGAGTTTCATTGAATGCTTGTTCCTTATGATATCATTCGTGTTACCAGGTTCCTCATGGGCATTTTCACATACGTCTATTATAGTAGCGTTGTCAAAGTGCATCACGTCACTGTCGGGCATGTACTACAGCTTATCGTCTCCGGGCTTACGCTTGATGAGCAGATTGAGCTCATGGGAGACTTCAAGCGTTATTTGGAGGGCCGAGGCATAACTGTTTGATCAATTTGCGATACTTTAGCAGATTTGGGGGAGACGAGATTCGGGAAGATGGACGAGCTCTAGATGCACGCCCTGTCAAGAAAAGCTACCATAGTATATATCCAGGCACTAGTTATCTCCACGGAAGAACAATTTCGGGGCTTTCGGGGCTTTCTTGTCCCGTCCATGCATTCTTATTTTACGGGCTGCGCCAAGATGTCATTCGTCTAGGAACTTGCTAATAAATAATCAATATCAAATATCCCTGGAGATGTATTTCAACGCGGAGCGCGCAGGAGTTCCCGTCTTGATGACCGAATTGATAAGGACTTCGAATGATGCTTATCTCGTGCAAGTTGCAAGGTAATGAGGGCATTTTGATGCGTGAGCATACACAACAGTACATGATCGTATTCATATTGTAGGTGCATGCGTAGAAACTAAGAAAACAATTGAAAGAGAAGGCATCCACTTTACGAACGCGGCTTCTCCTGAACACGAAGGTAACGGAATTAGCGTCATAACAGCAGGAAAGTGCTGAAAATGTCATACCTTCTTTTCCTTCCACAAAGCAAGGAGACCTACACCAGAAACCTTGACGACCTTGAAACGTACACCGGGAATATCACCCTTAGCCTTCCCGCGACGACCGAAACCAGAGATGAGGACTTCGTCGTTCTCGTCGACAAAGTTTAAGCAACCATCGTTCTGCAGACCAAAAAGCCAAGAAATTTTCAGCCCAATCATATAGCCTGCATATCTAAGCAACGCAAAGAATACGTACGGGCACGAAAGCGGTGACCTTCTTGCCGTTCTTGATGAGCTGCACACGCACACATTTGCGGATAGCAGAATTAGGCTGTTTTGCCTCAACCCCAACCTTTTCGAGGACGATGCCCTTCGCATGCGACGACCCACCAGTTGGCGAAGTCTTGTAGATGTTACCAAGTGCACGCTTTTTGTAGCTTTTGTCCGCCTGTACATTATCAAGGTTGCTCAGTAGGTTATATTGATGGAAGACAATGTGCAGAACGAACCCATCGATTTAAACGACGGTCGGTGCGCAGCTTACGTGCGGCTTGAAGTCCACGAGGTTTGTTGGCTAGCAAGCATAGATCGTCAGCATCGTTCGCCACAACACGCTCAGTGCAGACAGCGACTTACAGCCCATTGTTGCTGATAACGACGACGGCGGCGACGGAAGGCCGGCAAGGACAAGCGGGCCATTCTTATGCTATACAGTTTTGCATTTCAAGTGTTAATTTCTCACGATTATCGGACGCATTTTAACTATTACTACCTTTTTTAGATTTTCAATTCAACAATCTCGCCGGCTTGCTCTTGGATTCCGGAAACTCCTATACCCCTTCATTACTGAACAATAGTTCAATAGAGCTGAGCAGAGTTCACCTAGACTGCGTGGAAGGACTGTCGCGAGTCATTGCTACGTTTCTTGGCTTTCCCGCAAATGCATAAATCATTCAAGGTCATCTACATAAAGCCAGAACCGGGCTGCATGCTTCGTACATGTTTGTCTCAATCCAGACGCTTTATTTCTTTAAAATTTATTGGATTTGTATATTCTTCATTGTTCACTCCCAGGGTCAAGAGTCAAGGTGCTTCTTTATCCTTTCTGTTACAAACGCAACATCTGCGGGATTTGCGCTTCCTCCAGCTACATGACACCCGCTCAGAAATCTTGGCCAGCATTAAGACTCACATATGCTTACCGACGTGACCCCAGACGCTAGGGATGATGACTAAACGTGCGTTCTTGAGATGAGCTACCTCGTTTTGACTGTCTTCTGGCTGTGTGTTTCATGGAGTTCAATTTCGGTACACGAAGGATTGATCGGCATCACTTACAGTAAAGTACAAATCAGTCTTGCACGGCATAATTAAAGCCTTGGCCTTAATAGATCCCAGTGCTGCCTCCAGGTCTCCGACATGCTGTACTTGAGAGATATCTCCACCCTGCCAAGTGCGGAGAAGTGTGAGCATATCATTCGCATCCCAGTTCTCAACATAACGGCCCTCCCAAGCTTCCTTCAGCCAGGACTCTAAATCCGGGTACCTAATGTGGTTGTTCCAATGATCTGTATGAACCAGAACTCTGAATACTCACAGGCCATTTCCGGTGTAATTGTGTTCGCGGAACCACTGTTAAGCCCAGTCAGATTCATCCGAAATATTCGCTTCCGAACGCACCGCCTGTCCATACGCCCATGCACTATACACCCTTGCAAAAGCGCGGATCCCATGTTCTGGCGGAGTCTTATAATGCCCATTATCGAAGTCCTTCGATGCTACGAGTGCGGCCTTCGGACCCTCTAAGAAGCTGGTAATCCAAGTTAAATCAGATCGAAGTCCGACTGGGCGGAGGTGCAAAAAGTGACTCACCATTTATTATGTGGGCTAGTACGCGCGGACGAGCAAATTACAACGATACGCTCTACGAAGTCCGGATACATCGTAGCCCAATGATACGCCTTCCGACGAATTTTAACATCGAAATAAAGCATATCAGACCTCTTTCTACATTAACCTAGATATATCCACTCACTTGTTGTCCGCCCATAGAAAATCCAACGACACAGTACAATTTCTGTATTCCCAACTTCTTCGTCAAGACCGCATGCTGTGCCCGTCTGATTATTTAGCCGAGTGTTAGCAAGCATAAAGAACCCTTGTACACTGCGGTGAAATTACATATTGTCAGGATACGACACGGCGGGGAAATAAGGACCATTATGGGGCTTGGGCTATTAGGTATCAATCCCAATGCACTTCTCATACTATCGGTCATGCTTACTGTGTTAGACGGGGAAGACGACTGCATGCAATCGTTAGCACTGTTTTCTAAACCGCGTTAATGGAAATTCGGAACATACTTCTCCATTCGAGAAAAGTGCGAAAGAGACAACGAAATACTTGTTCGTGTCCAGAGCCTGAAGAATCTCAGTACTTTCTACTACCAGGCCCGCTTAATTTTTTTTACTTGCCTTTCCTTCGCCTACGAGATAATCTTGACCTTAAAGACAATTAAATAAATGATACACAGGGATTAACTTAAGCTACATAATTTTGGTTACAAACAAAAAGGAGATCTCTCACTGCCAAGGCCCATTTTTGCACCGTAGCATGTAGGAAACACAATACACGGGTTGTTCGGATTTCCATACGGCCTATACGCAGTTATTGCATTGGGTAACACACCACCTGTAACCTTGAAACGCCCGTGATCATAGTATAGCGTTTCCGCTGCCGGTGTATTGTTTGACATGGCCCTAGAGCGTTCGCTTCACTTTCACGTCGAGGAATAGAAGGAAGTGGCAGGTACCGGTGTTAGCAGCGCATATGCTATACGTGTGAAATACGATAGTCATGGGATAAATGAGTGAGAGCTTCTCATGCAGAGACGATAAACTAAGTATAAACTTTCGCAGGACGAGTTCCGATTAAGGCATGAACACCGGGCTATCTTCATAGCTAGTAATAATACAAAATATCGAAGTATGCATAGTTTCAATTTATCCTTTAGGACTCGAGGAAGGCTCTCACTTCCTTTGTTATAAATGCATCGTCCTCAGCATTCGAACCCCCGCCAGCTAGAATACGTTCATGTGAGTCAGGATAAAGCTAAGAAGCCAAACGAGATACAGACCCATGTGTCCCCAGACCGAATCAATTACAAGAAGCTTGGCGTCCTTCAAATGCGAGACCTCGATTTCGCTATCTTCCGGCTTTTCAGGGTAGAGGAACGTATCAAAGGCGATATCTTAATCAGACAAGCAGTCAATCAGAATGAACGTACTGGGAAGTACAAATCTGTCTTGGACGGCATGATGAGTCCTCGCGCTTTTATCTTGCTTAGACAAGCTTCGTAGTTGCCTCCATCGCGAACAAGGGACACGTCTCCAGTTTGCCAGGTGTGAAGAAGAGTTAGTAGGTCGTTTGCATCCCAACCATTGAGGAAGCCAGCCTCCCAGTCTTCGCGGAGGAAAGATTCAAGATCCGCATATCTGAAATTATGTGCAATTAACTGCATTATCCAATGAAGAAGGAATCGACTAACTTTCCACCATGCAAATAACCATGGTTCCTGAACCACTGGCAAGGGATAGAGAATTTATTTTTCTTCGTGGCCTGTGTGTAACTTGAACTCACAGTTTGCCCATAAGCCCAGGCACTGTATGCACGCCCAAAGGCACGGACTCCAATCTGCGGTACGGTTTTATAGTGTCCATTCTCGAAGTCCTTTGACGCTGTCAATGCCGCCTTGGGACCTTCCAAGAAGCTTCTCCGCGCCAACATATAATCAGAATTGACTCAGAACCGACTCAGAACCGAAGGCATAGAACACACCATTTGTTGTGAGGGCTTGTTCTTGCCGAACCGCATATCGAAATGAATCTTTAAGATCGAATCAGTAAAAGAACATCGGGGAATTTCATAGTACCACATACCTCTCTACATAATCAGGAAAGACTACTGGCCAGTAATACGCCTACACAAAGGTAAATATAATAGAGATTGAGCAGATGAAGCAAATACGCGCTGCAAAAGGCACTTACCTGCTGGCCTCCCATAGAGAAACCTATTACAGCAAAGACTTTCTGAATCCCAAGGACCTTAGTCAGAACAGCATGCTGTGCACGACTGGAATACATCATTGCTTAAGTTATCAAAAAGGGATTCGAGACTAGATGCACTACGGTCGGCGCACATGTTGTCTTCATAGGATACAGCGGGGAAGTATGGCCCGTTATGAGGTGGGGGCTAAAAAGCTATTAGAGCATCGCTTCTTTTTCAATGCACCAAGAGAAGTATGGACACACAGTATTCGAAGGGGAGGACGACTATGAAACCTCATCAACACTTACTATTGAGAATCGATATAGACTACTTACTTCTCCGTTGGAGAATAGCGCGAACGTGACAATGAAGTACTTGCTTGGTTGCAATGCCTAGCCGTGCCTTTGAGAATCCAACATACCTCGTACAATAAAACATGGGCCATACTTTGTCCTCGCCAATCATGTATATCTGGTCTAACAAACCCGTACCTTGCCGTCTAACTCATTCATAGTAAAAAATACAAGTATATCGGTTTCTTACCGTCAAGTTTTCCTCCATAGCATGTCGGAAACACGATACAGGGGTTTTTCTTGTCGCCGAAGGTCTGATAGGCAGTTATGGCATCTGGAAGTACTCCACCTGCAACACGGAAGCGGCCATGGTGATAGTGTTGGATTGGAGCATTGTCTGACTGTGCCATGTTAATACAGGTCGCAGGATACCGAAAGCCACTGGATAGGAATGCAGGCAAGCAGGCAGGCAGGGCGAGGTATTAGTTCTCGTGACGTTAATAAGACCCCTTGCTCCTACACCCTTGGAAGCGCGCACGCTTATCTGAAACAAGATTAAGAAGCTGATTCCAATTCATTTACTGCATGAAATTTCCCAGAGCAGTTGGATCCATATGCATGTTCCGCAATTATATCTGCGCAAACTCACACAGATCGAAATGAAACTCCGCCGCGGAATCATGACGTCGTCTCAAACCAGTAGAGTAGAGGTACCCTTGACGAGATTATACGAAGGAAGCAACAATAGTCGCGATTGCCGGAGCTTTAAGTGGGATACGGTGGTGCTGAGCTCGAATCGAAATCGTTGATTCCCAGCAGCAGGAAGTATGACTATGAGTTGAATATGAGTCTACGTTAGTCGGCCGAAGAGCTAGGATTCCGCAGGCCCATTTATCACCCTATTTGCTACTTTGAGTTTCTGAGAAAGGAGTGTTGAGTCTGTTGACGGATAATAAAAGACCCTAACACACGAAATTATGCAATCCGGGACTGCGTCAAAACTAAAAAAATAATGAATTGAAGTTCCGCCATATACGGAGATCCGTGTATATCACGTGATACACGGCACCTTGGACACGTCCTAGTCGAATTGGACTTCACTGTAGCGATTATTACAGCGCTGAAGGCGCGTTGACCACAAGTTGTCGACAAAATGCGTTTCCTTTTACCTTCACTTCTGTATGCTGGGCTAGCGACGACATTCGTTAACGCGTTCTACCTTCCCGGTGCTGCGCCTCGCGACTACCAACCTGGCGAACGCGTCGAGTTGTACGTGAACGCCCTGACACCTATGATCGGAAGGAATGATAATGGGAAACTAGTACGTGTGTTCTTAAGTAAATCCTAGCTCCTCTATCTCATGTTTATGCCTTAGAAATCCATGATAAACTGTAACTCCTCCGTCCTGGTTGTGGCGACGCGAATCATCTAATTCGAAATTTCCTAGATGATTACTACAATCCAGCCTTCCACTTCTGCGTGCCTGACGAAGGTATCAAGGACCAGCCAGAAGGACTGGGCTCTATTTTGTTCGGAGACCGTATCTTCAATTCGAAATACGATGTACGCTATCTACATTGCATGCCTCTGCGTCAAATATCTCATGTACACATATAGGTTGAGATGCTCCGCCAAAACGGTACATGTCGTACCCTATGTACCACAAGTGTTCCCCCAGAGGACGCAAAATTCATCAATGACCGCATAAAAGAGGACTACGCGATAAACTGGCTCATTGACGGTTTGCCCGCCGCCGAGATGAAGGAGGACCTCTTGACGAAGGAAATATTTTTCGAGATGGGCTTTAACCTCGGTAATGACGATGGAGAACTTGCCAACCGTCCGGCTCTCAATAACAATTACGATATCTATATAAGGTGATAGGCGTTGAGTTGACAAAGGCCCCTTCTGACTTTCTTCACAAGGTACCACGAACCTTCGCCGGGCGTCTATAGGGTAGTTGGTGTACTGGTCTGGCCTGCGAGGTGGGTTCAGAAGTGTACTACCGTAAAGATCGTGCTAAAGCTTAGCACAGCATCGGAGAGAACCAGGATTCCGAGACCTGCGACTCCACCGATTCGACCACTCCCCTGTTCTTAAGCGAAGAACAAGAAACGCCAGTGCGTTATACTTATCGCGTGTTTTGGACCGTAAGTCATCAATGTACCTCATTTCCCTTTATCCGTTGACTGGAAACTGTTACAAACTGTAGGAATCGGATACGCCATGGGTGAGAGTTTCGAAGTAATAACCTTTCATTCCGAAAATGCTAAGTTACTTTCAAGGCTACTCGCTGGGATAACTATCTACACATTTTCGACCCAAAAATCCATTGGTTCAGTCTCATTAATTCTCTTGCAATCGTCGTATTCCTCTGCATCATGGTCGGTATGATAGTCTATAGAAGTGTTTCGAGAGATGTGAGTATTTCATTTGACACTTTCAATGGATGACTCAAAAAGAATTGATCCAGATTTCGCGGTATAATGCCATTGATCTAAGCGTATGCAGTATTCCAGAGACCTACTGATGAGTCGCTAACACCTATCTAAAAATGCAGGAAGACGTACAGGAGGACTTCGGGTGGAAACTTGTTCACGGAGAGGTTTTCAGAGCTCCAACGAATCCGCTCATCCTGTCGGTTATCGTGGGCAACGGTGCCCAGCTATGTGCTATGGTCGGAATCACACTAAGTAGGCAAATTCATACCTTTTCATCCGGCTTCATGCTGAGTGGGCAAGTTTAGTATTCGCGCTTCTCGGTTTCTTGTCGCCCTCGAATCGTGGCTCCCTGGCAACTGTCATGATGGTATGCTGGTCATTCTTCGGCAGGTCAGTCATCTTCATCAATCTGATCAATCTGACTTCATCCATGTCTCATATTGCCACTAGCATTGGAGGATATGTCTCCAGTCGTGTATATGCATCTTTGGGTGGAACAAACAGGAAAAAGAATACTTTCCTAACTGCTACAGTCCTTCCGACAATCGTCTTCGCTTTCGTGTTCCTGCTGAATTTCTTCCTCATTGGTGCTGGTTCTTCTGGAGCGGTACCCTTCGGTACGATGTTGTTAGTTGTCTTGCTCTGGTTTGGTATTTCTGCTCCCTTGTCTTCGATTGGCTCGTACTTCGGGTCTAGACATGGTGTACGTCTGAATGACATTTTCCGATCAGATTCACGGCTAAACAACCTTATGATAGACCGTATCGCATCCCGTACGTGTAAATCCTATTCCTAGACAAATTCCGCCAACACCAAAATATCTTCGGCCTTACGTGAGTTTGTTTCTCGTGTGAATATGCTTTCTTGTACTCATGGCCTGATTTTTCAGTGGGCAGCGATAATTAGTGGAATTCTGCCTTTCGGTGAGTGCAATTCTCAACTGTATTCATACATATGGGCGGACCAATAAACAAACTCGTAGGCGCCGCCTTCGTCGAGCTCTACTTCGTCCTCACTAGTCTCTTCGCATCCCGCGCGTACTATGCGTTTGGCTTCCTTGCACTCACGGCGGCTGTCGTCGCTCTTACCACAGCAACAGTCACCATCCTCTTCACATACTTCCAACTCTGTGCTGAGGAATACCGTTGGCACTGGCGTGCCTTCCTCTGTGGTGGTGGAAGCGCATTCTGGTTGCTCGTTTATGGACTGTATTACTGGCTTTCGAGGCTCTCTTTGCACTCGTTCTCTAGTGTTGTTCTGTACCTTGGGTATCTGTTCTTACTCGTGCTCCTGGACTTCTTAGTCACGGGTTAGTGGCACCTCCTCGACATTATCTGGTAACAGAGCGCTTATGTCTATTTGTTACGTTCTTACAGGCACGATCGGTTTCCTTGCGAGCTATTGGGCAGTTCGAAAGCTTTACAGTTCCATTCGTGTGGATTAGTGCTTAATACCTCCTCTAATTATTTCTTGTCTCATATGGAGCACACTACCTTTGTTGTCTTGACGATAACGCAATGATCAAAACTAGATGCAAATGAGGCATGCATCCCGGGTCTTCTTTGCTTTCTACCCGTACATGCTATCCACAGTGACGCCGAACATGAGTATGATTGGTTGGGGGTGAGAGACCTTTTCAGAAGATTGACCAGGAAGTTTGTGTCAGCACTGAAGACCCATCAAAGTGATGGCCCTGTTCGAGGGTGATATCATCTAATTTACGGCACTTAGTCCCAGGCATCAAGTATGCAATCTTAGTGATATCCGCATTTCGTGATGTTTACTACTCTGACTACCATCAAATCGGGTTTCACAACTATTTAGTTCCTACGAGCGCGGTTTATCTGATGGGTCTAATGGATTATATCGTAAGCGGAATAATTCAATGTCCATCGTCGATGCGGGCCCTTTGTATGTTAGGATGTAATCGTCCGACATCGAACTTTGTACATTGACATGCATGGACCACGGCAAGTTGCAAAGTAACGTGCATTATTCAATGTTGCATGCCGGAGTCAGGTCTAATCCTTCGCCCAGATAGCCTTGACCACTAGATCATAGTCATACCACAACATCTAGATGTCAAAACGACTTAGACGGTCCTTGAAGGCTCATTTTGACGCATGGAGCCGTGCCAGTTCATTGAATTCAGTCCCTGAGTCGAACGAATATATTAATCACGTACAAGCTGTCAACGGAATCATCTTCTTTATTCAGCAAGCGGAAGAATGTGGACTGCAACCAAAGAGCCGATGGGATACTGCGAAACATAAGCTCGAAGAGCTTATCAAACTCGTTAGTGATAATATCGGTGCCTTTGAACAAGGCATAGTCATTCATTATAATCAAACAAGAACATCGCTGTTGACTGGATTGCAAGCAGAACTGGAACGAGCACGAAAAGATAAAGACGATTCTCAGAAGATCTCAAAAATCAAAACTGCTCTTGGATATGCCACCAACACAGAGGAGATCACAGTCGAACATCTTCATAAAACGGAGTAGATTGTTCTCGTTTCCCATTCCGCTCTGTTAGAGCCTGTTCGTTCAAACTTCACATTACTAGCATAGAACGGAATCTATAATTAATCGATGTCATATTTCCCTTGATGAACTCTGGTTTGATGTGATTGCACATGGGGAACCCACAAACTGTCAGAGGGGATTTACAGTATTGAATGACATTTGATTAGTCGGGAATCCACCATCTTTTTTGTTTCTCATTCAAAGTTTGCCTTTATTCAGTCCTTAGTTCTCAGTACTCTTGTTATGTTCTGGGATTACATGAGTATTGAACTTATACACAGTCTAGGACAACACAGCAGAAGTACTATATAATTAATATGGAAGGAAGAGACTCTTTAAAACATGTAGCTAGTAGCTCAATGAATATTCCTCATTAAGTATGAATATTGTAGTCCAGAACTCTGATCATAAATTTAGTAAGTACACTCCTGTCTGCATTCTTAGATCATGACTCTACTCTGTTCTGTCTTAACTACTAGAAAATACTAGTCAACTTTGTTTCTTTTTTCAGTTCCTATTGGATTTAAAAGAATGACAAAGAAATCAATATTAGTTTGTCATAATAAGCTGTAAATTTGTACTGAGTAAGGAGTAATGCCTTTAGAAACCTAAGTAAGTAATATACAATACTTATTCATCATTACTACTCTGTAGGCTCTGTCTGGGATAGCAATTAAAACAACAACAACTAACTGTAGCTGCCAGCTATTGATCAGCTTTTCAGCACTACACACTTTGTCTCTCTCAATATTCAAACATATAATTGTGTTCCTAGTAATAATGTCTGACAAAATCAGTTAGCATGACAATCTGCATAAGTGTTCTAAATATAGCAAATAATATGTTAATATAATATCTGTAATGGACTCCCAGCTCCTGACTTTGGGGTTTGGAATGGTCTGAACCTGTGTTCTATAAACTTGCATGTATCTGATGAAAACACATTCATTAGTATATATCCTGTTGGTTCTGTGCTTTGATTGAATGATGTGGTTGCTAAGACAATAACACAGGAGACAAATTCCCATTCTGTAAACTTAGGAATTTATTAGAAAATTCAAAAGCTTCCACCTTATGGGCTGGAAGTACATTCCGAAACAAAATTTTCCAGCATCAGAATAGGTTTCTGCCTTGTGTGTAAGTGTCCTGCATCAAAAAATGATCTGACATAACTATGGAACGTAATTCCAAAGTACACACAGTTTCAAAAAAAGCAAACTTGACCAGACAGCAAGTATAATAAATCACCAACATTACTACTATACAGTCTTAGTATTTTGCAAGCTCAACCGGGTATATTTTGCTAAGAAGCTATATAAGTATGCTGTTTTGTTACTTGTTGTGTACGTGTATGAATTCATCAACTATCATTCTCCCCAGTATTGAAACCAAACGGTTGTTAATCAGTAATTTCTTTCTTTGTGCTGACAAGTGGTGAGTCTACAACATCTTCAGTTTACTCAATACTTGAAGATCTGTTCACCTCTCTTCCTGTTGTTCCCTTCCTTTCTCGTTAGTGCAAAAATCTTTTCTCAGTTCCTGCTAATATGAAAGGTGATACTGTTACTGCAAGGACAATGTTAAAAGAAGATTCCCAGAATTGGGAGTCTGTTCCTGCAAAACAAAAGGTTCCAGCATATCAAAGGTACACAAAACCCATCCAGACAAGTTCTTTGGATGATCGTCAATACGCAGTTATTCGCCTTGGTAACCGACTTGAAGCTACAGTCGTTAGCGACAAAGACGCCGAAATGTCTGCTGCTTGCATGAACGTTGCGGTTGGATATTTTAATGATTCGGTAAGTGAAATTGAATTCATTTCTCCACATTCGATAGCATATCCTTCGACACATTGCATCGATTCTCTGGGATATTCTATATCAGTGACTACTGGGCTTTGGACCCAGAGTACCACAAATTGCTTTCCCAAATATAGCATCCATAAATAATATGATTTACTTGCATCCTAGGACGACATGCCTGGCCAAGCTCATTTTTGTGAGCACTTACTGTTCTTGGTAAGCTGGAAATCTGAGCTTGAAGCCCTCCTTCCCCAACTTGCACAGTGTTGACCTCCATGGCTTAACTTGTAGGGCTCAGATAATCATCCAAAAGAAAATGGGTTTGACAAGGTAAAGCAATTTTGTTCTACTTGAGAATTCAATAATCAGACGTCTCACTATTCATTGTTAACAGTACCTCTCTTTACACTCTGGGCAAAGCAATGCTGCAACGGGTGGCTCCCGTACAACCTATTACTTTGAAGTTGCTTCTGATGCTCTTGAAGAAATGGATGCTCTTGAAGAAAAGAAGCCTCTTGAAAAAGCGCTTGATTACTTTTCAGCTTTCTTTTACTGTCCGCTCTTTCACGAAGGCTCGGTCCTGCGCGAGATTAAGGCAGTTCATTCCGAATTTTCAAAAAATTTCCAACTTGATGTGAGACGGATAAGATATGTTGAAAATTCCCTCGCTCGCCCGGCACATCCTTTAAGAAAATTCGGCACCGGAAATAAATACACGTTAATGCAAAAATTTCTCGCCTCGGGAAGTGAGGGTTCAGGTACGAGTGGCAGTTCCCATTCGCAAAAGCAAACATCCTCAGTTAAGAGGCACGTGATGGGTGTGCACGAGCCCAGTAGGAGCACCAGTGAGACCTCAGCAAGGAGTTCGACTGCGTCTAATAGGTCGCCTACGAAGAAGTCTAAGAAAGGTGTCCATGGCTATGATAGTCCTTCCAGCAGAAGCTCCATCCAGAGCGTGCATTCCTCAACACGGTCACTTTCAGAGACAGGGAGTAGCCACGGAAACAATCAATCGTCCAGAACTCCGAGCAGAACGAACTCGCAGAGTGGCAAAGAGGAGGAGGAGGCAGAGAAAGCAGCTGCTTTGAAGGCTAGGAAGGAACTGAAAAAGTGGTGGGAGAAAGAATACTGTGCAGGGAGGATGTGCTTGGCAGTGGTAGGAAAAGGTATGAAGGTTCTCTGCCACTACGGTCCATTTTGGTCTTGACATGTCGAACAGAGCCACTGGAAGAGCTCACTGATATGGTTGTGAGACTCTTCTCACCAATAAAGTACAAAGGGCTAGACCCACTCCCACTTGCTTCTCCTGAACAGCCTTATGGAAAGGACGAGCTTGGTGTGCGTTTTGAGAGTTGTGTATATTTATTACTTAACATAATCCACTTTTATATTAGAAATTTGTCCATGTTAGGACAATCAAAGAAAGGTACGAAGTTACTGTTGTCTTCCCCGTCGCCTGGCAGGAACCCCTTTGGCGTGAAGATCCAACATACTTTCTCTCTCATCTGCTTGGCCATGAAGGGCCGGGTTCGTTGCACGCGTATTTGAAAAACAAAGGATGGCTTGAGTCTCTAGGTGCAGGACCTGTTCATCCTGGTCGAGGCATAAGTACATTAAAGGTGACCATGATGCTGACTAAGGATGGCTTCAGTGCGTACTCTTCGCTACTTTTCCATGTTCTTGTGCCAATAAAGTGCTGCTAGAGCAGCATCATCGGGAAGTCGTAATAGCATGCTTCAAGTATATCAACTTTTTGCGCCATTCTGAATTTCCAGAATGGATGTGGAAAGAGCTTGAGTATATGAAAAAGCTGGATTTCCGCTTGAAGCAGAAAGGAACTGCATTATCTCATGCCAAGGGTATTGCTGCCTCAATGAGCTATCCGACGCCGCGTGCTCTTCTCCTGAGCGGGCCTGAGCTGCTTTGGGAGTGGAATGAGACACTCGTCACGGATACATTAGCAGGTCTAGATATCGAAAATAGCTATGTCCTTCTAGCAGCTCGGGATCACGAACAGATCCCGAAGGGAGAGACATGGCACAAGGAACGATGGTATGGGGCAACGTACGTTAAGAAAAAGTTTGATGCAGGATTCATTTCTGCGGTAGATGTTTACCGTGTTACTTGTGTATTTGCGCTGACTAGAGCCCGCCTTTATTAGTGTCGCAAAGACAATGATATTCCTGAATTTTCTTTGCCAAAGCGAAATCCATTCCTTCCGAAGAATGTTGATGTCCATAGAGTACACGTTGCTGAGGCGAAAAAACGGCCTGCACTTGTCATGGATACGCCACTCATGGAAGTGTGGCATAAGAAGGACGATCAATTCTGGGTACCGAGAGCCTTCATGCAGATCGCAGCACGGACGTAAGTTCGCTTGCCTTCGGATACTTTGCTACTATTTACTTACTCCATATCCTCCACCCTCCTGTCTAGGCCAGCTTTCCAGGCTACACCTCGCAGGTCGATATTGACCCAACTATTTGTAGAGCTTGTGGAGGATGCGCTCAATGAATATTCATATTATGCACTACTTGCTGGTCTAGAATATAGTTTAACAGGCACTACTCACGGTTTCACAATGGAAATCAGTGGTTACAATGATAAGCTGCACGTTCTTGCCGAGAAAGTCATAGACAAGATTAAACACCTTGAGATTCGGAAGGATAGGATGGTGATTATTATTAAACGGGTACCGTTCCTCTTTATGAATGATGCTTTCTAAGACTGGAACTTGCTGTCCAGATACGGCGTGATGTGGAGAATGAGCGCCTAAGCAGTCCTCGTGAACGATCTAAGTCCTATTTGGGCTACATACTTGAAGAACCCGAATTTACCACGGAGGAAGAATTAGAAGCGTCGGAAGGTTTGTTTTTTGCTTTCAGACTCCGCGTAGTAATATTGACTAGTAGTAGGTATTACTGCTGAGGAACTTTTTAGTCATATAAAGAAACTGCTATCGAGACTCAAGTTCGTAGTCTTAGTTGATGGTAATCTTTGGAAAGAGGTGAGTCGTGTATTGTCCAAACGTCAAAAATTGTGTTCATAACCGTGTAGAACACTCTCAAACTTGCTGCCATAGTCAAGGAGACAATCGGAACTCCTGCTATCCCAGAAAACCAGCTTCCGAAGCTCTTCTCACGACTTCTTCCCAAAGGTATGCATGTTGTGCACGGAACACGACGTCTTAATATTAACTCCAACAGGATGCAATTATGTCTGGGAACTGCCTGTGTATAATCCTAAGGAGGCCAATTCAGGTGTATCTTATTACTGTCATATCGGCAATGGTTCCGACCCACGCATTCGCGTTACGTGTCATCTACTCTTGCAGATACTCGAAGAACCGGTATACGATACTCTTCGAACGAAAGAACAGCTCGGATATTACGTTAACTCGCGTATCAGGACAGACACGGAGTCGATTGGCTTGCTTGTGGTGATACAGTCTGAGCTCGACCCGAGATATCTTGAATCGCGGATTGATGCGTTCTTGATGTATATGCGCAAGGTAATCCGGGATTTGTCCAACGACTTGAAAACGTTTGAGAGTCATAAAAGCTCTCTCAGGAATCTATGGACGGAGAAGGATAAATACCTGAGTGAAGAGACGGACAGGTTTTGGTCCGCTATTCAGGATGGATACTATGATTTTCAAGAAAATGAGAAAGACGCAGAATTGCTTCAGAGCATATCATTATCAGAGGTCCGTACGATATTCGAAGCGTATCTCGATCCATCATCGAAAACTCGCTCCAAACTTTCTGTCCACATGCGATCTAAAAACGCATCTAAGCACCCTAAACCAAAGGTCAGTAGACAGGCAGCCGAAGATTTTCTCAGCCTGCTACAGAAAGAACATATTCCCATAAACAAGGCCGAGTACGACAGACAGTGCGAGAACGAACCGACGGTACCCGAAATGCATGAATACTTGAAGAAGACGGACTTAAGCGAATTTGTCAGTGACAATGAGAAAGTCAAGAGCCTATTTGAGCAACTAGATTTGCTTGTGAAGAAGTACCCCGTGCCTACCTACCTACCTACCGCAAAGGCTGCCCTGGAACTTAAACACATTAAGGATGGCGCTAAGTTCAAATGTGATCTTAAACTTTCTGGGAGTCCAAAACCGGTTGAGAAATTTAAAGTGGAATAGTCGTGCAACATGTTAGGGCATTAACATTTCATCCTGGCGCATTGCTAACAAATACGGGGAATATTCATGTCATCCAACACTGTATGAATGGCGCAAAGTATATGTAGCAATTTAAAATAATAGACTATAATATTTATTTATTTATTAATAAAACATTGCAAAACAGTGGCGCCTTAGTTCCTGCTAATATTAATGATCGGATTGCGATCCTAGTAGGTCGGGACAGCCTGGTCAACTCCGCTGTTGGTGCTACAAACACGTCGACCGAACAGGCAATGAAGCGCCAACATTCTCTCTTCTTACTCTTGGAGGTTGACTGCGTAGCATTTCGATCCAACGGTGGCCTGATGATTGCATATCAATGGCCGTCTTAAGGTCCAGGGTTGCGGAAGAATGGGCGATAGGGAAACAGGCGATAAATACGCTTTAGAATATGTATGCGGGGTGAGTTTCATGCGTAACACTCAACATGACCTTGTCTGTCAATGTTTGCAACTTCTTCAACTTCGCAGCCTTAAGCGAAACTGCCTTCTGTACGGATATCACATCTCGAGATTACATCTCTAGCCGCAATCGTCGTATTGATATGCCAGTGGTTATCCCAGTAACGAAAGAGAAGGCAGCAATGCTGGTGAAACGCGGAGAAGAGCGGAAGCACATGGGCCTTCCTAATTACTCTTGCGCTTTATTCTCAGAGTAGTTTGTTTGACTTGCATTCGCAGCATATTGTGATGCTGATAGAGGAGAGAAACACTACACCCTATTCACGATATCGTAGTTCTGTTTGATAAAGTCATCGATAATAATTGTCGGAAAACGTACAATACAGCATAACAAGTACTTTGGACACATCGGAACAACATACTTGACAATTATAATTTAGTGCTTTCTCGTTGCTGTAGTTCTTCAACTGGTACGCGCACGAGTCGCTCGCAGGTCTGAGGCACAATGTCTTGTGATCCAGCATCATCAGACTTGGTCGATGTAGGTAGTTGAGGGACTAGTTGCAGTAAGTCAAATAAAGCGACATACTGCAGTAACATAAAGAAGTCGCACCTGAAAGACTGAGTATTCGGAACATCTCTGGCCACTGTGATAGCACATCGCCGTGCACTACGGAACACGCAAGCTCCAATAAATATATATAAAATCGAGGGTCCATTCGAAATTCACCTTTACCAGCATCTCCCATTACATTACAGTCAAGGTCAATCGCTTCCAATCGACGCACATATTCCTGACTTAATCGTTCCAGCGCGCGTAGCGCATCATATTCCCGTTTCTTTTCCTCTAATTTCGCATTGAACTGCGCGTTTGATGCTTGGGATGAGAAGGAGCTGGCTTGAGATTGGCGAATGGAATGGACAGAGGACTTGCGCATGGGTGTTGGCGTTGATGCTTTGGTCGGTCGAAAGTTCAGTCGCGTCGAGGGGCGCGTGACAGGCGCGTGACGGGATCTGTAAATACTGTAAGGCATAAGTAAGGTTAGGGTTAGAAACGGGGGAAGGACACCAGTCAAACTTGGCTTGTGCCTACAATAAAACTGATCATGGTGCACCTCGTCGACCATGGTGGCTCTTTGGTATGATGTTAAAGTAAGATGCTTTGCGCTTCTGTAATCTATCTAACGATGATAGTGCAGAGAAACTTAAAATACTATACGTCCAAGTTGCAGAGTTTACAGCCTCTTGGCCATTCAAGCACCGATATGCACCAAATTCACCCATCGTTCAATCGGAACTCCAGTCCGCGATTTTAGCTCCAATGACGCCCTTCGGAGTCCTCCGGCCGCCCTCTTATATTTTGCTTCGCCCTCTTCACATTCGTTCATGTACTCATAAACGGTCTTAGCAAATGCGGGTCCGTCCTGATCAAAAAGTTCCCACATCGAACCGATCACACTTCGAAAACCAGAAAATTGCATGGCCGCCGCAAGGTGAAGGACTTCGTCGTGTGTTCCATGGTGAGGCTGTTCTGCAGTATGGCAAGCAGAAAGAAATGCGAACTCCGCGCTCGGAAGATTAGCTTGGACGATATCGAGTAATGTAAGGCCGTCATCCGACAATTTGAACGAAGTGTCGAAGGGATTCGGGTTCAATTGTCCATGACAAACAAAGTGGACCCATGTTGCTTTCTGGAGCTGTTTGATTACTGATTCACGAGACGCTTTCTTGCCAACGAGTAATTTGGTTATTATCCCAGAATTTCGAATATTTCTAACCTCTTGTCTAGCTGACCGAAGGGAAGTATCTCCAATTACAAGTACCGCTGTTTCGTCTTTATGGCTCCCTGAACGCGCATTGACGAGTGCTCCTAGTGTCGGGGTATAAGATGAGATATAATTGTCCAATAAATACTTTGGAGTCGCATCTGCATCCACAAATGGTCCTGCGGCATGAAACGGAAGCACAGATAACATCGAAGTTGGACACCACCAAATGCGGCTTCCTTCGACAATCCCGAGCTCGTTGAGTTTGGCAACGACTTTGGAGACAACTCTGTCCCACAGCATCTTCATCGCCTCACGGAGCTTCTTATCATATTCTGGCGAATCAGCACTGAGCTGTCGGCGCGTTTCCATGAGCTCATTGCACAGCTTGATGCTATCTTCAAAGAACTCATTATCGAGCGAAATGCAAATGGCCGATTCGTCATGACCGAAGAGGATAACGAGGGCATCAGAGCGATATTGACAATGGTTGACTACAATGACCGGCCCCTCTGAAGCCGCTCGCTGTAGTATCTTAAATGGTGTCGCTTCAAGGAAGCTCTCGAAACCCTCCATTCGTCGAATCTCGCTAATTATCTCCTCTTGCTCACTGGAAAGTTGTCGTTTTAATTTCAACAGCTCATCAAATAATTTCCGTCCTGACCCGACACCTAGCCTGGGTGGACCTTCTCCATCCATGGTTGGTCCAGACATCGATGCTTCATGTGTTGTTGCGAGATTCTCCAGTCGGTGACTAACGTTCATGAATCTGTGGGCGAGTCCTTCGTTCTTTTCTGCAAGTTGATCCAGAGGAGTCCTGAGTCCGCGTAATTGTGACCAGAGCAGCGCTCTTCCTTGCTCAAGAATCTCTATGGCTTGTTCCGATTCATTCTTCTCCACAGCGAAAGAAGCTGCCTCCAAAGTAAGCATTCTATACTCATTGCTCTGGGAAAGGAAGTCATGTTGTGCATAGAGAGTCGGATTTATGGTGAGAGCATGTTGAAGTAGTGATATCGTTGCCTTGTAAGCTGTAAAGGCAGTATTGTGATCATGCAAGCGCGCAAGATCTGCCCAACGACGCGCGGCGGATAGACGCTCTAATAATCCGGAAAATCTATGGATAGCAGCGAGTCCTAGTAGCTGCATACATTCTTCAAACTCTTCCATACTCCACCGCTGCTCGATTCGAGTATATAAAGAATCTGCAAGGTTTCTCAATGACATAGTACGAAGAGGATGCCCTTCAGGCCGAAGCTCCAGAGCAGCCCGGTTCAACTCAACGGCCTCATCGAGCTCCTCAGTCCTTCCATGCAGAGAGAATCGAGTGTGCAGGGAGAGCGCAAGATTACTTAGAGATTTAGAGCGAAAAGGATGACCTTCGGGACGAAGCACTAGGGCAGCTCGGTTTAACTCGACTGCTTCCTCAAGTTCACCATTGCCTCCAAGTTGCTCGAATCGGGTCAGCAGTGAAATTGCAAGGTTATTAAGCGACATAGAACGAAGAGGATGGTCGTCGGGCCGAAGTTCCAGGGTAATCCGGTCCAACGTGATTGCTTCCTGAAGATCCTCCATCCTTCTATACTGCTCGAATCGCGTTCGCAAGGAATCCGCGAGATTTCCAAGGCAAATAGAACGACGAGAATGACCATTGGGGCATAGCTCTAGGATAGCTCGTTCCAACTTGATAGCTTCCTCGAGGTCCTCGTTCCTGCCGTGTTGCTCGAATCGAATGCTTAGGGAATATGCAAGGCTACCGAGAGTGATAGAGCGACCTGGGTGCTCTTCGGAACGAAGCTCGAGGGCGGCTCGATTTAACTCTATGGCCTCCTCAAGATCCTCTGTCTTTCCGAGCTGCTCAAATCGAGTTCGCAGGGAATCTGCAAGGTTGCCTAGAGAGACAGAGCGAAGAGGATGCGCTTCGGGACGAAGCTCGAGGGCAGCACGGTCCAATTCGATTGCCTCTTCGACGTCCTCGATCCCTCCATACTGCTCAAACCGAGTACGCAGGGAATCTGAAAGGTTTCCCAGAGACAAAGGCCGATCAGGATGGCCCTCGGGGCGCAGCTCTAGGGCGGCTCTATGCAACTGGATTGCCTCTTCCAGATCCTCAGCTCTTCCGTACTGCTCAAATCGTGTGTTCAAGGAATACGCAAGGTTTCCAAGAGAGATAGAACGATCGGGATAGCCTTTGGCACGAAGTTCGAGGGCCGTTCGGTTCAACTTGATTGCTCTGTCAAGATCCTCAGTCCGTCCATGCTGCGAGTATCGAGTTTGTAGGGACCATGCCAGGTTGCTCACGAACATAGAATGCTGACTATGATCTTCAGGCTGAAGCTCCAGGGCAGCTTGGTGCAACTCTACCGCCGTGTCAAGGTCCTCTGTTCTCCCATGCTGCCAAAATTGCTTGTGAAGGGAGTCTGCAAGGTTATTCAGCGACTGAGAACGGTCAGGATGGCCTTTAGGTCGAAGCTCGAGAGCAGCTCGGTGTAATTTGATGGATTCTTCCAGATCTTCTGTTCGTCCAAACTGCTCGAATTGCGTAGAAAGAGAAGCTGCAAGATTATTCAATGACTTAGAACGATCAGGATGGCCTTCAGGTCGCAGCCCCAGGATAGCTCGGTCCAAGGCGACCACCTCCTCCAGGTCCTTGGGAACTCCACGCTGTTCAAATCGACTGTGCAGGGAGCTCGCGAGGCTACTTAGTAACTTAGAGCGATCCGAATGATCCTTGTGAAGAAGCTCGAGGGCGGCTCGCCACAATTCGATCGTTTCTTCTAGATCGTCCATTTGGCCCCATCGCTTGTACCGCGCCGCAAGAGAGGTCGCGAGGTTATTCAATGACTGAAAACGACGGGGATGCCTAACAGGACGGAGTTCAAGAGTGATACGATCGTAATAGATTGATCTTTCAAGTTCCTCCCGTTCATCTGATCGCTCGAAGCGGTCCCAGTGTTGCCGTGCCAACTCGTGATATTCTCGAGAACAATCAAGACAAAAAAACATTTTCAAGCGGATCTTGAACTGTAGTAATATCTGCTTCCAGCTTTTTGTCTCTCCAGTTCCAGCTGCAAATTCGTTCAAAATGCGCGTTTTTATAGGAAGAAGAAGACATCATACCGCGTAGAGAGTCGTTACCTAAAAGTGGCAGCTCGTCCTCAGGCCGCCGTCCTGCCCGTAGCAAATTCTTGATCAGGCCAAAGAACTTCTTCATTGGGCTCATTCAGTATGAATACGTGACAGGGGCAAGAGTTAATCTTTGAGGACTCTGTCGTCAATTTGAGAGCAGATGTTATGTTTAGTATTTACTTAGGATGGAAGATGGCACACTAGCTTTGCACAGCGAGCACGATGCACTGATAGGGGTACAAGACAGACATCCGCTTGCTAAACATGCAGGAAACACGTTCGTGATGTGATGACAATTGAAGTAGAATAGGTTTGATTGAATTTTGCAAACATTGAATAGGTTCAAATAGATGTAAATACAGTCTAAGAAACACGCGGCCACTCCGTCTCTTGCCTTATTCGGTAAACGTTTGAGAGGTTGTTGAGTAGGGGTAGAGCTTCTCTCCTTCTTCAATGTTCTCTGTTTTGACTGCACTACTATGATCAAGATTATGGCAATCAAAGGCCCGTTACCTAATATTGTAAGCCTGTCTCTGTACTTCTGCCTTACAATGTACACACAGGCTTGCAGATAATAATCAGGCGATTGAGGAAGCTCTAGAGACAGTTTGTCTGACCAGACAATTCACAAGTGGACAGATTATGGTAAAGTATAACCTAACATGAAAACATAATAAGCTCCTCTAATGGTGCCTGACCTTAGACACAAATAGGAATACAGCATTTCATCCCTAAGATTACATAATATGCAAACAAAAGTATGATCAAAACGCCATCACACTAGCTGACGGGCTTTGATTGTAATTTTGTAACTATAGAAGGCAAATTAGTGTCTGGCATAATAGCTACTTGCAATGCTGTACTATGCTGGATATAAAGTGAGTCAATATAGCTCATCTCATCTGCAGCTTCAAGACTCTGCTAGCAATGTCTTTTAACAAGCATCTTCATACCATTGACGAGAACGAGGAAAATGGAGGCACATCCGATCCCTCACATAAATCTGGTGACAGTCACACGACAAGACAGTCGGGTCGTACTCAAAGGCTAAGTCAGGAACAAAAGAATCAAGACAAAATCTTAATTATTGATGAAGATATCAGAAGTATAGTTCATCATGCTAGGGAACTCGGTGTACCGACAGAAACTCGGAAGAGTGTGGTTGACGAGTACAAAAGAATCATGAACGACGGAAGTATGGATTCCACCACAAAGGTACAACAACTGACAAGTCTGAGTAAAACAGCATATGCCGAGTGTGGGAAGTGGCTTACTGAGTTGAGACCTTGTCTTGCTCCTGATGAACAAAGCAAATTGGATGACTACTATTACGATTTTTATTATGACTACACAGACAAGAACAAGACCGGATCGGAATGGTATAATGACTACTTCATGATGAAGAAGATTATTAAGCAACGACTCGAGAGACTTAAGCAGAGGCAGGGATCGTCGAGTTAATCATCCCTATTTTCAATTAATCTTATTCCCCATCTTGTTGCAGAAGGATAACATGGTCATCATTACAATGCCCTGACTCTCAAAGCAATCAACACACACTGTCCTTCCCCATTTCCCTTCCTTGATTCTTAGATTATCAACATAGAATATAATACATTGGTGATGTCTGAAGCATGACTACCGCAGATCGAGTGAGAAAAAAAGAGCAGCTCTTGTTGCAAACTGTGTGAGGTTCTGTATTGTCCGAGCGCATCGTTAGCAGCATGAGTTTCTCTGGAGTTATTGCAAAGAGTAAACTAATACTAATTGAGAACGTCCTACTTCGCAGTGGCCGACTAGTAAAGCGAACTTTGCAGGGCTGTCGGTCCGCCTGCTGGGTTTGATCGTGCAATGTGGCGTTACTGTTACGAAGGCATCCTCCTCATGCGTGATGCTACCCGTGATGTTAGTTCTGATGCAAAGCGACAACGAGGTGATTGTCCTTCCCAGCTCTGAGGACAGCTACGCCATCGTCAATTAGATCTGTTTCCTGCAGTGTCTTCTGTACATCGACGGCCACATTATTCAGGTACAAACCTTTTGACGTCGCTAGTCTCCGTGCTTCGCCTGTTCACGACGACAATGTCAGCGCTACATATCAACTCTGTCGAAGAATGCATAGGAAACTGACTGTTACTACTCGAGAGCTTGTATTTCCCTGCGAGCTTCCATATCGGCTGGGCAATGGTTTCCTCCCGTGTACATCGAACGAGTCGTGGATCACCTTCTAGGGCTGTGACGATGTCGCGTGCTGATAGGTTGGCGAGCGAGGTTTCAAAGAGGGCTTGAGTGGCGATTCTTGCGCGGTTAACGGCTTCTCCTGGAGATGTCATGAGAGAAGAAAAAATAGCATATGCGAGAACGTACGGCCATGGATAAGCTCTACGACTTCATCTGCGAGTCTGCGCTGAACAAAGCGCTTTTCTGGTGCAGCCTATTCAACAATTGAACATATGAACGTGATGAAATAAGGCAGAAACTGACTTCATGCTTCTTGAGGATATCCGCGATGTCGTGTGTTGGGAGGAGTGTAAACATGTACAGGTATTTTCCTACGTCCGCATCTGCAGTGCGTACGAAGAACTGAAACAATTTAATAAACGATCTCAGTGTTTTCAATCATCCCACACGAACCTGATAGAAATCAAGGACGCTCGTTAGGCCCTTATTCAACCATACCGCATTTCCCTCACTCTTCCCAAACTTTGCACCAGACACAGTGGTTAGCAAAGGTGTCGTCAGACCATGTGCTATTGGCTGTTCCTTAGTGCGGGTACGATCAATGAGGTCAACACCAGCTAATATGTTGCCCCACTGATCGGATCCACCAAGTTGCAATGTACAGCCGCGTGTATTGTATAGATGGTAGAAGTCGTAGGCTTGGAGGAGCTGGTAGGTAAATTCTGTGAAGGAGAGGCCTTGCGGCGAGGAAATGCGTATTTTCACACTTAATCATTATATTAATTTTAATAATAATAAAATGACAAAAGGGATGAAAAATGTAGAAAAAACACACCTATCACGACTGATCATAGTTGGTATCCGGGCATGTCTCCCTGCTTTTGTGAGGAACTCTAAAAGACCCAATGATCCGAGCCATTCAACATTATTTGCAACCTTTGGTGTTGAGTTTGGAGGGTCGTATTGCGACGAATGAAGTCTCTTTGAGCCGTATTCCGACGCTGACGCAAAAAAGCCGTCGACAGCTCGCGTTAAGCTTTCGACATTATCCACGGCCTTTTCTTTGCCTAATGGAGACCTTTCTTCTGTTTTACCGGATGGGTCCCCGACTAAACCTGTCGCACCTCCAATCTGTTTTATACAGTCATTACTCTCAGCAGCATGAGAAATCGACAGAGTTACTTACGAGAGGTATTACTTCATGTCCACGGAGAAATAATTGCAAGAGTACCATGAGTGGTAAAAGATGACCAACATGGAGAGACTTTGCAGTCGGGTCTATCCCAAGGTATATTATACTCTTTCTCTCCAAACGCCGAGAGATTTCCGCGTCACTTCCTTGTCGGTGAACGTTATTGAGTGTTCCAAGACAGAGAAAAAGGGTTTGTTGCTCACTTTGTTGTCTGTGAAATCATGCCACGCAACTTCAGGTCATCGAGAAGATTCGTCGTATGCAGCCACATTCGAGCACATCTTTGAGGTTGGTGTATGAATGTCCGAGAGATTGATGCAAAGGTTTTCTGTCGCAGCAGCATGGAGGACCATTGGAGGTTCTGTGTAAAAAGGAAGAGAAATTGAATTGGACGTGTTTACGGCACGTGCCACGCGTTTCATGGTCGAAATTCGACTTGACCTTTCACAACCACTTGGGCACCGTTGTCTCTACAAAATGGACAGCTCACACGACTTCTCAGTGCCATTAAACCAACAATTTCAATCAAATTCACCTCTTGCCGACCAAACATACGACGGCACGCAGGAAGGAGATCTCTCAATCTCTGAGCTCTCAATCAACAACGACAATGCTGGTCCTTCACATTCACAGCAGCCATTCAGCCTTCTTGCACGTCCGCGGCAAACACCACAAAAGATGCCAGAGGAGGAGGATGTAGCAGAGGATGAAGCCGGGAATGTGACTGCTCGACCAGAAGAAGACAGCGAAGCGAGGGCACAATCTATTGCACGTTCTCGGGAGGAACGACTAAGACAAGATCTGTTCGTCCTGCGCAAATTGAATGAAGGATTTGCTGTTTACAACAATGCATTAAGTGGAGCGAAGTCAACAACAGAGGTGTGAACTATTGATTCTACTTTATATGTAAAATGTGCATTTATTGACTATATTTCTAGCTTGTTGCAGAACAATTGAAAGAGACTAATGCTCTTCTTGACAAATATGTGGATATCCTTGCAAAATCAGAATCTGCGACCAAGCTCATATTTGATGAACGATGGCACGGTGCTGAGGACGTGAGTAAATTAACTGAGATGTAATCATGATTCCGGTATTCTAATCTATATATTCTCCAGGACGAAGCATCTCTCCAACGATTAGAACGTGAGGCAGCAGAGAAAGCTCGAAGGGCAGCGGAGGAACGAGCCAATGCTGAACAACGAGAAAAGGAACGTCGAGAAAAGGAGCAACGCGAACGTAGCGAGAAGGTGGAGAGGGAACGACTAGAAGCAGAGAAACGGGAGAAACTCGCGACTCGGGCAGGGTATGGAGGCGTGAGAGGTGTACGTGGGACGAGGGCAACTGCTCGAGCGAGAGGTGCTGCTGTGTCAAAAATGGGTAAGGAATTTTGGTCGAATAGATAGATTATATTTTGATCTTGGAGAAATGCAGGTGGAACTGCTGCACGCGGTCGAGGAAGTGCAATACCGACAACAACGACGAGTTCGGGCGGCCGGATTCCAAGGCCAAGTTCGGCTGTATCAACTACTCGGGCTTCAACTACCAGTACGACTCGGTCAGGTGTACGCTGAGGTTCAATGTTCGCTTGTATCGTTTTGTATTCTTTACGATCATTGTATGCATAGCCAAACGTTCAGCCTGTAGCATATAATGTATACCCAGATTTTTGTGATAATGACAGGATGATGCACATGCTTCCATCTCCAAACTGCCCACATCAAAGAAAGTGAACACCAAAGCTATCGTTTCCCTTTCTTCCTGGATGGACGAGAGTTCTTCGCCTTCTTGCGTTCTGCAACCTGCCTCGCCTTCCGAATCTGCTCCGCAGACTTCAACTCAGACTTGACACGTCCAATCGGCTTTCCACCATACCGGCTCTTCCCCTTCTTCCCCACGCCTACTTTCTTCGTCTTCGTTATTGAAGGACGAGAGTTCTCCGCCTCCTCTTCACCACCACCGCGTTCCTGCGCCTTCTTCGTTATTTGCCGTGCCTTCCGCTCATAGTCCTTATTAAGCTTATGCAGAGGCTTCGCAGGAGTCACACTCTGATGCTTGAACCTCTTTCCCCCTCCGCCTCTTACCTTTGCACCAGCACCATCGCTTTCCTTCTCACCAACCCTCGGAACCCTAACATGTGTCTTCTTACTCCACTCCTCGAACCTGCCACTCCTGTACGTCACGGGCAACCTCGTGCCTCCTTCCGTCTTCACGATTTTTACGTTATCCGCACCTTCACCGCTGCCGCGGATGAATCGCTTCTTTTTGCGATCCCACTTGAGCTGGGATCTGACGTGACCTGCATGTGTACCTAGTGTACCAGCCTCATCATTTGTAAGGTCGAATGTCGCTCCTGATGCCTGCTCAGCGAAGGATGCACCGTCTTTTAGAGAGTACCTGAGCAGTGAAGAGTAATGTATATTAACATTTGCTTGTTATGTGAATAAAGGGGAAATGCGGAATAAGTACCCTTTTTCTGTCATTGCGTCCTTTTGGACGTATGGGAGGTAAAATTCCTCATCACGGTGTTTACCGTGTTTCGAGCCAGAAGCAAATGCAGCCTATGAATAATATCAATCAGTAGTCGTCTAGCTAACGGCAAAGAAGCAGCTTACCTCAATATCATCTTCGTCTGCCATTTCGATATCTTCGGCAGGCATCACTGATTCTTGTGTTTCCCGCACTTCATATTCAACAATGCTAGTTGTATGCACGGCTCGTTCACGGGCTTTCACCAATGCTTTTCTTCGGTCCTTCATCAACGCGGCACCTGCCGACTTCCCTCTATTCCCAATCTCAAACACCGTCTCAGCGGGTGAGAAGGAATTAACCGCCTTCAAGAGTGCTCGCCGAGCTTCTTCCTCTTTCTCCCCGTCCTGAATGTCCCCGGTACCCTGCATTAATCGGAAGACAGGGTGAATGTTTGTTTCACCGACGGTCGTTGCGAAGCCCCACGTCCCACTACGCATCATCTCTTTCGCGCGTTTGTAGCTTGCTTGGCTCGCTTTCGCCTGACTACGCTCGTACATCCCATGTCCTCTACGCATCACCTCGCGAAGGGTCGTCAAGGAACTATTCCCCGAGTCTAAAGAACGTATATACTCCGTCTCATCATCGATCTTCGTACGAGGGAAGGCGCCGAGGATCAGAGACTCAATATATGCGCGTTCGACGATGGACGTATCGACTGTACTTCGTAACGGTCGACCAAGGAAGAGCTGTAGATCTAGCAAGTGAGGAAGTTCCGTCGCAGTGACGAATGACCAAGCCCATCCTGTGCGTCCTGCACGTGCCGTCCTTCCAACACGATGTACAAAAACCCTCGCTCCAGCGGGGAAGTCAAAGTTCACCACATGCGACAGAACAGGAATATCGATTCCACGCGCAGCGACGTCTGTTACAACAAGCACGCTCGTCTCTCCGCGTCGGAATCGTTCCATTTGTAGAGTACGCGCAGCTTGGTCGAGTTGTCCGTAGATATGCGAGACTCTGTACCCTGCTGTAGTGAGTAGCGCATTGACATATTCGACATGATGTTTTGTAGCGACGAAGATAAGGGTTTGGTGCGGCGCGGCGTGGCGTGAGTTAGAGTCCTTGCCTTTTCCCTTTTGATTGGCTTTCCCTTTCTCTGCTCCATCGTGTTCTGCAGGAGAACCTAATGGGACGCGTATTATGTTGCGAAGTAATACAAGGAGACATGCGTCCTTCTCTGCTTGCTTGACAGAAAAGAACGCCATGCGTAAATCACTACTTATCTTGCTCTCTGCATCGAGGCGGACGAGTTTTGGGTCCTGTAACCCCGCCTTGGCAAACTCCACCAATGACTTTGGTAGAGTAGCGGAGAAAAGCAGTGTTTGTCTTGTAGAAGGAAGTCGGTGAAGTATCTCGTCCAAGGCAGTTGAGAAGCCCATTTCGAATAGCCGATCGGCCTCGTCAAAAACAACGTATTGAACGGAGCGTAAATCCAGATTCATCTCGACGATGAGATGCAGAAGTCGACCTGGCGTTGCAATGATACTGAGGAAAAATCGTCAGTGACCAGCAAACCAATTAAGAAGAGAGAAAATACTAACACGTCCGGATTGCTGGTGATCATCTCAAACTGCTCATCCATACTCTCGCCTCCAACAACCAAGCCCCACCTCAAAGCCTGTCCTTTCGTGCTCCCTCCATCATCTCCGCCATCGTCATTGGTGTTATCTCCCGCATGCCCCGCCTCGGTAGAATTCCATCCTCGCACCAATTCTTTTCCGACTTTCAGCACCTGCAGAGCGAGCTCGCGAGTAGGGATGAGTATGAGAGCACGGGCGCCAAATGTTGTTGCATGTCGGCCACTAAGGCGTTGAGTTAATGGAACCATATATGCAAGAGTCTTGCCTGAGCCCGTTCGAGCCATTCCGACCAGATCACGAGGCGGGTTTGCTAGCAGAGTTGGGATGCTTAGTCGCTGGATTGGAGTTGGGACTTTGTAGCCTCGTAGAGTCAAAGACCTCAAAAGGGGAGGGTGAAGACCTGCATATCATTGAATAGATATGAGCATGTACTGAAAGAAATTGTTACGGGACACGCACCCATACTCTGAAAACTGCCTCCACCGACTTCACCTTTGGAAATTTTCGTCTTTCCTTTGGTCTGTCTAAGTATCTTTGTCCCTTCCTTTTTATCCCTCTTCGCAACAGAGTCCTTGATAAGAGCTTCCAGCTCCTCATAATCATCTTCACCGTCACTCTCCAAGACATTATCTGAAGACTTTGCTTTCTTCCCAGTCAGAGCCGCAGTGATATCTACTTCATCATCGGAGTGCACAATTTGGGATGAGCTTGCAGAACTTTCAGCGTTGGACTCTTCGAGAGAGTGCTTCCGTTTCAGCAGAGCCATGGGCAATGCAGAGAGGACTGGGAACCAGCTCAAGCGACTGGTACAGTGGTAGCTCGCACAGGAGGAATTTTAGAGGAGTGCACGTGACCGGATTTCAAAATAAAATGTCTATTTTCGGCATATCCCGATAATATGTACAATCTCATAATAAAAAAAGTACCATTTAGGCTGAATTCAATTGAAGATATATTATGTTATTAGCCTCAAATAACTAGGTCCTGGTGCATACAGTAATGAATAAGACTGTAATACAGGGGTAACAGTGTAATGCAGGACATTAATCCACTAGTTGACTGTATACATACAGTCATGTATTTAGTAAAGCATACTTTGTGTAAGCCTACTGTACGGCTTACCACAGTTCCGAGGGTTCCGAGGGTTCCGTTCCGGAACTCTCTCATGCAGCCATGAGCCATGCATATATTCCTCTTTTTCACTTGTATTACACCCAACCCTGAGCCACACACATAGTCCTCTTTTTCACTTGTATCACATGTTCCTTTGGCCTGAGCCACTTTCCTTTCTTCTCTAGTATATAAAGCTTATGTCTACACCTTTGTTACACTAGTTCTTGTTTACTGACTGTAACAAAGGTGTGTCTTATTATGTACTACAAGTTCTTGTTTACTAACTGTAACAAAGATACCTTTGTCCTGTCAGTCTTTGTGTGACTTTCAGTCTTTGAGCTCAGTGTTCAGTACTCCACCAGTACTGTTCCACTTTGTTTCTTACAGTTCTATACATTCACACTTTAAATATTTCTAGGTGGAGTGAAAATGTACTATATTCATTTTTTGATAACTTAAGGACTTTGCTATTTACCCTGATGTAGGAGAGGAGACTTTTGATGTTGGTAGTTGGCCTTTGTTCCCTTTTCAACACATTCATAGCTTTGATACAATGCTTGCTTTGATTCTATTATAATGCTTATAATTCAGCTAAGGTCCAGAAGTTGCTTGTCTTTGTATTTTGCAATTTACTTTGCTTTCATGTCTGAATTGTTGACAAGAAGATAACAGAGCACAACACTGTAAGAAAGGGCTGGATCTTGTAATAACTTACTTTAAATTATTGCAAAGGGTCACTGTTTGCAGCTATTAAAGAGCAGCCTTTCCAGCAGTCTTCACCCAGAAGCTTAACGTGAGTTTATGCATAAACCCGAAGTACGGAAAAGGATCACCTCAATTGGTAACAGGACGATCAGAACCGCCGAGACAATGAACAGTGATGCAGATACAAATAAGGGGCTTGAGTAATAAATCAATCAGATGTGAAAAGGAAGAATTCGGTACAAGTAGTATGTGCTTACGCATTCGGTCCGATGCTGGAAGCACTACCATCAGGGTTTGTAGTAATAATTTTGATGATTGGTGCTAGGACACCCATAATACGGCCGAATGCAGAGCAAATAGAATTCCCTGTTCCCCGCTGAGGGCCAGGGAAGACTTCAGGAGTGTAAGCATACAAAACGCCGTACATCTGAAATTACTAAGTAAGATTTCTGAGCAATTGGTTTGAAAATCACATCACGCACAGCATTCCTAGATCCAGAACGCGTATTAAAGTAAACTTGAAGGATATCAGAATCATGCTACAACTCACGATGTCAGAGTGGATGCACATGCATAACCGAGGTTCGAAGCTTCATTCTTAGCCGTAGTAAACAGAAAGAGAAAAATACCCGTAAGAATTGTAGAGACAGCAAGCACCATTTTTCGCCCTCCAATTACGATCTTCCCAGTACTTCGCGTCCAGTCAACAAAAATGGATGCAATGACAGAGCCGGGGATACCGCAAACTGAGGCAATAGTATAGTCCCGATATGTTTGATCGTTTGAACTGGAGGAGAGCCGGTCTGAAAGATAAAGGGGGAGGAATCCGTTAAAGAGCGGATATGCAAGTCCCAGTATTCTGAACCAATTATCAGCTTGGTAAACAGATGCGAAAGATAGTTAATCACCCCCAGATTAGGATAATAAGTGTTGAATTGATAGCTAGCCTCTTCGTGGAGAACAGTTTACGAACGCGCGACCTGAAATTGTTTCATTGGTAAAAGACATGAATTAAGTAACTTCACTTCACCAACAGTGAAAAATGAGAGAAAGATCTCTTGAATGATTTTTGGATCGATGTATCTTGCAGGTGCTTCGGTATGTCATCCGAGCTGGCCACCAACTTCTCTGTTGTCAACGAAATACTTTTGCCATTGTGCTTAGCAATATATTCCAAAACCTTAATTGCATCTTCGTCTCGACCGGTCGCGATCAGGAACTTAGAAGATTCTTTAAGTCGAATAAGAATGAAAGAGCAGAAGAACATCGCAAATGCCAAACAACCCCTAACCAATGCAATTAGCAACCGTGCTCATCACAGATGCCTACACTTACATTGTATATCTATACAAGGAGGATATTTAGAAAACCAGTAGAATTATGACAAGATAATAGGGCATACAATGAATATCTCCAACTTTTGTCTTCCGGATAATTGGCAATAAATACCCACACGATCAAGGAGGCAACTAGCTGGCCAACGGACCAGGCAGCAGATAAGAATGTCAAGAGCCTCTGCAAAAGTTTAAGATTAATTATAGATCAACCAAAGCGAGACAATGGCTGAACCTGGTGAGACTGCGGGAGGTGCTCTAGGAATAGAGTACCTGGATCATTTCAGCACACACGCCGCAAGCGAAATCTTGGATTAAACATACCAGTCACTGGCTCACTGGTACGTTAAATGGCGCAGATGTAAACAATGGCCACTAATTCGAGAAGATAACGTACTTTCCGCCGACACCGAAGCCAATGCAAGCCACAAGCGAACAAAGCGAAACATAATTGTGAGTCCCTCCTGAGGCAACGCCAAACACACCCTACGATAGCGTAGGCTATAATTGACACAACATTGATAAAAGAGACAATGAGAATAACTCACACATATAAAGAAGGTAATCCGCCATGAAATCCTCCGACCTACCACATCAGCAAGAATGCCCCAGAATGTTGCACCGACAATCAGTCCCGAATAGAGAGCAAGTAATACATACTCCACCCTAGGCGGATGCAGGTCAGACTGCACTTGAGGTAGGATTACTGCTACGCCTTGTAGCAATAGATCTATATGCAAAGTAGTATGAGCCAGAAACCAACAATATACAGCTGTGAACCCTACTATCTACTGCCCAAGCGAATCCAGCTACAACGAGTAGCTTTTTCTGATAGAGACCAAAACCAATCTCATGCTGAAGGCACTGGTTTACTGAAGAGAAGCTCGTAAACATAACCCAAAGGAGCTAGTAAGAATAATCATACTCAAATGACTCTTCCGTTCATATGTGCTGCTGACGCCGTCTCCACGATTTTCGACGACATCATCGTTGGGTAAAGGGACCTCTACAGTACTGGCCTCACCAGTAATTTTCTCGATACCTACCTTTTCAGGGGTTTCGTCGATGTCTGCATTTTCAGGGTTCTGCTGAACTTCTTTGTCCGACATGAAGGAAATTGATAGAGATTGCTGAAAGAGAACATAGACTATATAGGGAACGACTTGTGCAATGTATGCCACCCAGAACAAGTTGCAAAGTGCAGCAACGCTAAGGTAACAAGATCAAGCAAAGTTCAAGCTTGATTGTGCTTCCTGCCGAGTTGCCAAGCGTTCCGGCACATCAGACAAGTTGGTAGATTGTGTAATGGGTATTGAGATAAGAGAATGAAGATGCAATATTGCTCATTTTGGTAATGATGTAATGATTGTGCTACTTGCACACTTGTGCTACATGTGTTGTAAGTGCTTGTGGGTGTTCTCTTTTTACTCATTAGACTACCCTGTATCCTACTACATGTTTTTAACAAGCGTAGCAGGAGTGCCCCAAGTACTCTCTCTTATTGAGACATCAAGCAAGTGTCTGCCTTATATACTACATAGTGAAGTCCAATAGTCTGAGACATTCCAAGTGTAGTAACTCTACATAAGGCAATTGGGGATTTCCTAATCCAGAGCACAATCTAATACTCCCCTTCAAGCATTAATTAAGAACTAGAACTGTATGCCCAATAGTTTGTTTAGATGCTTGATCTGTAGGATGTAGAGAGCTTTTGTAAGGATGTCTGCTAATTGGTTCTGTGATTGAACATAGTATACATTGATGTAATTGTTTTGAATATAACATTGTACAAAGTCTTTTTGTAAATCAAGGTGTTTAGTGCAAGCATTGTACATTATTTTGTCAGACTTTACAGTCTTTATTACACCTTGATTATTGCAATAAATCATAATGGGTGCTGATTCAGTCTACAGTACTTCTTCAGCAAATCGTTTGAGCCAAATGGCTTCTTAAGTAGCATATGCTAGCACTTACAACTCTGCTTTGTAAACAGATAGTAGTACTAGGTTTTGCTGTTTGCTTGACCAGGATATGGTTGATTTAGCTAATTGAAAGACATAGCCATTTATTGCTTTATGTCCTTCCATCATTCATCTGTCTGCATCACAATAGCCTTATAGTTTTAAGGCATTCATGCTTCCAAGTTGAAGCCAGCAATTTGTTGTATATTTTAAATACACAAAGTAATGTTTCACTACTTTGTAGTGATGTGTTTGGGGCTTTTGTAAGTAGTGTGCTAATTGCCCAGTAATATAAGATATGTCTGGCTGTGTGCAATCTGCAACATATCTTAACAATCCTACCATATTTATGTATAGTATTGTTTCATTATTACTTTTGTTTGTATTGTACATATTGTTTGTATTGTTAGATAGATCTATTCTAGGAGTAATAAGTGTTTGTAGTGCCTTCTTGTTTTTAAAGTGGTAACACTTGATTATACTTTCAATATAATGCTTTTACTGTAAGCTAATCATTTGTTGAGGTCTATCTTAGCTTATTTCAATACTAAGTAACTAATGTATTTTGTTACTATCAGTAAATGTAATGTGTTGTCTTAATGCATGTTTAAATACTGTTATTATAGCAATAGTTTTGCTAATAATTGTAATATTGTTGATGTGCATAAATGTTACAAGAATTGTTTTATTATTTTGTTTCTTGTAAAATACAGTGTAATCATAATTAGCTTGTTCTAATCCAATCTTAAGTAGTAGTTTGGTAATCTTCTTGTACCATTGTCTACCTGCTTGTTTCAATCTGTATAACACTTTATTTAAGTGTAACACCTGTCCAGGTTTAATATCTGTAAGTAGCCTGCCTGACAACAGTTTCACATAAATGAGTTTGTCCTCATTTAGTTCTCTGTAAAGATATGTGGATTTTACATCTATCTGATGTATTTTGTAGTTCTTAGATGCTGCCCAAGATAACAATAATTGTACTATTAATAGTTTTGTTACTGGAGCAAATAAGTTGTCAGAATAGAAGTCTATTCCATTCTTTTGAGTGTATCCTTACACTACAAATTGTACTTTGTATTTGTCTATTTGGCTGTTAGCCAGTCTTTTGATTTTATAGACAAATTTCGTTCCAATTATATTTGTATTTATAGGAGGGATAGCATATATCCATGTGTTTTGTTGTTAAAGTGACTGTATTTCATCCTTTATAGCTTTGATCCACTGTTCTTTGTCTATACATGTTATAGTATTGTAATATGTTAATGGATTGTTATAGACTTCATTAAGGAATTTGTTAAATTCTGTTAGATACATAGCTAGGTTTATATCATCTTTGTAATTTAAACCTATAGTTTGTTTAACCAGTCTTTGCTCTTGTGTAGAGCATTGTATGACAGGTTCTTTATCTTTATTATTGTTATTAGGAAGAGTTTCATTGTTTGATGTATCATTGTTATGATTATTCTCCCCTTCAATCCTAGACATTAGTTTGTCTATGAATTGTACATTGTGTTCAACAGTAACTTTATTATTATGACACACTAAGTGACCTTTACTGTCACTATCATAACCTAGCTATTGTGTGTATTAGCCTCTAGGTTGTAGTTTATACATTTGTTTGTTCTGTATAATACAATATGTGCCAAATTCTCATATATTATCTATTTGATAATGTTTGTTATACTGTTTGTAATATAGCATTACAAAATTAATAGTAACTCTTAGTATTCTGTTATGAATAAATGTTTGATATTGTACTGTATATACCCAGAATTTTATAAGTAACTTTGCTGATAACAGACACATATGTATACTGTTAAAGATAGTCTTATGTATACATTCCACAACTCTGTTCTGCTGTAGTGTATTGTGTACTATTAATCTACATATTGTTCCTTGACTTTCAATATACATAGTAAAGTCTTTACTTAGGAACACTGTATTGTTATCACTTTGGAGAGTTTTAACTCTTATACTATACTGTGTAAAGAGTCTTGTTGTATGCTTTACATATTCTGTGAAAGCATTGCTTTTATGCTACATAGGTAGTATAGTTACCCATTGTGTAGCATCATCTATAATGGTAAAAAGATATTTGTACTTGCTGTAAGCTTGTACTAGGGCAGGTCCCTAAATATTAATGTGGAGATGATCTCTATAAGATTGTACAAGAGGTATTGTTTGTATTTTTGGTATTTCATTGTGTTGTATGTTTGCTTTAATACAATCTGTACACTGTGCATTTTTATTGTCTGTTATCCTTTGACTTATAATCTTAGGATACTCTTGTATGAGTTTGTACAAGTAATCAAAATTGACATGACCCATTCATCAATGTAAATCAACAATAGTGATTGTGTTAATAGATTGTTTATTATGATGAGAAACTATCATATACAAGTTATTTTGTACATGTATTTTACCAATCTTTGTATGAGCAGGAGAATAAATAATACATTCATTGTTTGTTTTCATTAAAACATATCCTGCTTTACATAATAGTGCTTCACTAACAAGTGTGAAGTTCAGATTGGGATGATAGTATATGTTTTGTAGTGAAATCATATTCACCTTAGTATGCTCATCAGCTTTGTCTCATAGTTTTATGTTAAATGTCATTACTCTACTTTTGCTAAGTGTGAATAACAATTTATTCACAATTGTAATGTTTATTAGGGTTGAGTTCCAAACGTTTGTAAGACAGAACAAGTACAGAGTAGTGTGTACATTTGTACCAGAGTCTAATATATTAATACAATGTATTAGTTCAGTATCATTGTAACATATTACATTAATACATATGTTTGGATTATAATTGAACTCCTTAATGACTTCTTTTGTATTGTCAAATGAGTTCATGAAGTTGTCTACTTGCATGACACTATCCTCTTGTACTTCAAATGCTGAAAATACATTAGATTCAGCAGATAAAGCAGATTGAACAGGTAAGCTACTAGAACTTGATACTAAGGCTTCTACAATTACAGACTCTAGCATTAGTGTTTCATTAACATCTTTAATGAATACTGTTTCATTATTGTCTCTAATGAATACTGTTACATTAAGTACAGGTTGAGACAGTGTAGTAGCAGTAGTAGAAGTAGTAACTGTTTACTTATACTTTTTCTTTCAAGCTTCCATTGTTTTGCTTGTTAGAGGATTTCAGCAGTCTTTTAACATATGCTTGTACTTATTACAGTTGTAGCATTTAACTTTATTATAAGGCTTTGTTTTGCCTTTAGCTACACTTTTGCCTTTTGTTTGCAGGCTGTCTCAATCAGTATCTTGTTTTGTTTGAGAGTACTGAGAATGATACTTAGTATATGTGTTTTGTAATTTGTGTATCAACTTAGCTAGTGTCAGAACATCTTTCTGAGCTGCTGTAACTGTTAGTAATTGATTATAATAGGTAATCTGCCTGTCTAGCATTGTTACTACCCATCTATACTCACAAGGAGTAGTGAGGTTAATTACTGAGATGTATGTATTGTTATTAGAGGCTTTATTATGTGTAGACAACTGTTTATAAATTTGTTCAATGTTATCTAACATCTTATCAAACTGTAATACATACCCTTTTACTGTGAACAATATAGATATGTTTACAGTATGTGTCATTGTTGTTTGAACATTGTATCATTCAGAAAGCACCTTCATGAGACTTCTAACACTTGTATGTATTGTAAAGTTTGTATAAATTGTATCAGTTATTGTTTTCATTATATAATAATACAAAACATTGTCTGTACATATGCTAGCATTATTAGAGGAAGGGGGATTGTGCTCTAGATGGTCTAAGAGCATTATGGTAGCAAGTGTACTGTGTATGTACAAGTACTATATCTTATATCCCTTTATACTAGCTAACTTTTCCATTCCCTCAAAGAACTTCATAATGTCAGAGTCCTTCATTATAGTATTAACAAAGGT